GGCAATAGTACCAACGACGGACCCAGTTCGACCTGGCTGGCTTTGCGTACAGTGTTTTGAGGAAGAGCCAGCCCTGCTTCTCCGAAACCACAGCGGAGCTTTCTTGTGGCTGAACGCTGACCGGACCCCTGGAGCCTAGGTACTGGACCGTCGACGCACTGTAGTCCTCCAACTCCCGGGATGGTTTGAACGCCTGCAGAGTGCTTTCCCCAATGTCGCGGCGCGCAATCTGCAGCTCCCTCTTGAAGACAAACTCTGTTGTTTCCATCTCACGCGACCAGCCGCGGATGCGATCCATCTCGGAACCCCACTTTGTCGATACCGCGGCGGCGTCGCGCGACCGCTTCATTTCCTTCCAAAAGTCGGAGCTGACACGCACAAGCAACTTGTCCAAGCTAAAGCGGATCTGTGGTGCAAGCTGACAGAAGTCCATGGCGACTTTGAGATATGCCTTGCGGGTCTCGTACACGGCGAATGCTTCTTCTCTGATAGCAGACGGCTCCTTTGTCTTTGACTGGCTCATGTAACGAGCCATGGCTTGATCAAAGTTTCTCTGTGTGTGGTCCAACACTCTCCTGACTTCCTTGAAGGAGCGTAGATCGGCGGCGACGAAGGATCGGATGGGGTCAACGGATATGGTGTCCATTTTCCGCACTGTCGACATGATCTGAGTCCACCATTCTTTTGAGCCATCGCTTATACGGCGTAAAGCGAGAAGGGTGTAGTCTTGATCGATGATGGCGTCGGCGGTTGCGGTGGGTGGGAAGATTTTGGACAGGTAGGTGTTGACACTTTCTTCGAGGGCTAGGATGTCACGGGTGACTCGAGATGTCGACCTGACGTAGTCTTCGAGCCATTTCTCGACATTGTCGATGTGTTCTCCAAAGTGCTGAGCAGTGGATCGAAAGGTGGGAGAGTCGAGAGATGCCTCGTTCAAGCCCACGGGAATCGCAGGACTTGTTTGCTTTTGCGCCGTTGTCGCGGTAGCAGCCAAAGCCACAGACGCAGCGGGCTCAGCCATCGTGTAATGTTCGACGACGTCGTCGTCGTCGTCGTCGGGGCGACTAGGTAGTCGTTCGGTCGGTCGGTTAAGGGAATATCATCTGTCTCTATGATGGGCACTATGCATGCTCGACAGGTTTGAACGGTATGCTCTCTTGGAAATCGGAGTAGAGGAATGCTGTTTGCGAAGTTGTAATGACGTCGGCGAAAGCCGCATTTGGAGACGGGAGAGTGCAAGTCTTGGGAGGTGTGCTGTCAACGTCAAGCCTCGCCTCGTCAGGAGAGTAGGCTGGAGCCCGGCGGTGGGGGAGCCAATGAAACCCGTCTCGCTTCGCGCTTTAGCGTCCGCGTTTACTGACCGCTCCACTATAAGCTCGGCCGAGAGCACCCTACGACTCACTGAAGCACACCGACAGCGAAACATGGGCTAAGGTACCTTTTAGGCCGGGGAGTTACCTAAATATTCGGGCTCTGAACACACTTAGGTATCAAGCTCGGGACGACTTTCTCTAGATACCTACTCAAGGAGAAGACATGGCCCAAGCTCCCCTCGTCTTTAGCGTCCCTCTCGTCAGTGTTCCATGCCGTTGACAGTCACTTCCTTCTCCAACATGCACACCTCATCCGTTGGTATATCTCCCCTCCACTCTTCCGCACAATATTCTCCCTCCTCGCAAACAAACTCCGAGCGTAGTTGCTCCCCGCAAGGTCGCATTGCGAAAGATCTTGCATTGGTCGAAGAACAGCCATGGCAACATCAAATATCAAGCCTGGCACATAATGAGCTTGTTCAGGTCATTCCTTTAAGATCACATGGCGTACAGCAGCTGAAGCAGTCTCCATACGTCCATCCGCCTTGATCAGAGCCCGATAGGCGACGACCCTGCCTGGCTCATGCTCAAACCGAGAAGCCGGGAAATTTTCTGTCTTCGACAGGCTCATGCTTGTGGACCGTGTCGTCGAGATCCCGCACCCGCCCGTCGCGAACTTGGGCCATCTGGAGCAGAAATCGTCCATCTGCCATCGAGTCATGGGTACGTGGACGCGACATGTCAATAGCTGTCGTCACATATCTGACAAGGAGAGAGCTACCTCGCAAAGTTCAACAAACCTACGCGGGCTTCAGCATAGCTTGCCTCCAAAACTGCATGCACATCCGACCCGTCAAACTTACTCGAGCTTCTCTGTTCGAAACACGGGGCTATCACGACCGGCCAGAACGTCGTCGTTACTACAACACACATCCACGACAAATCCCAATCCCTACCCCGGCCCCAGACGCCGGCTCGTTTCTGCAACGGGCTCGACTGAGTGGGCTTTTTGGTGAAACATTATTCCATCATCAACGGGTGTGAGGAAACAACCATAATGGCATCATGTTGGCCACAAACGGTATGGGTTGTCTCGCCGCCTACACTGGTCTATCTCGAAGCCGCGTGGCTGTCGACTACGGACTGGACTGTTGGTGGTGTCCTGTGCCCTTTGTGGAGGTAGAGGGTCTGGTCAATGCTAAAATGTCGGTCATGAGCGAGTCAACGTCGTCGTTTTTTCCCTCCCGCCCGCGGCCAGCACAGCCCCTCAGCCCCTCCCGTGTGGCATTTTTCATGCACCACCGATGTCCGGCGCCCACTGACAAGCAATCGGCTTGAAGCGATCAGCGGGTCTTCTGCATTGGTAGCAGGACATTCAGCTGCTCAAGGGGTACAACGCACCCAACCACGGGACCCCCGTATTCGGTCACCAACCAAGGTATGTCTCCTGAGTTGTGCATCTGCTAACTCACATGCTCTTTACACAGTCCCTTTTATGTGGCCTTGCCGGGAACCTTGCATTCCACACGTTGCAGTGGTATCAACGGCTTCGACTCAACCTTTACTCCACCCTCCTTCACCAGCCTCCCGGCGCCTGCGCCACACGCGGATCTCTAAGGGTGGGGCACTCGCCGCACCGTTTCTCCCCAGACCGGCAGTCCCTGTTCTATTTTTGGGTACTTACTCTTTCGGAACCTCGAGATCTGGGGAAACCCTACGGAGGACGATCGTCGGTTTTCGGGGTCGCCATTTCACCCCACGAAGACAGCTACGCAATCGCCTTGCTTTCGCATTAACGCACGAATATGCCTTCATACCTTTTTCACTAGCATATCAGCCGCCGTTGGCACTCGGGTAAAATAACATACGTCAATACCGGTACTCGTCCTCCACTTAGGCTTGGGCATAATAGCTGGTGGCGACTATTGGTACGGACCCCGTTGGCTTCAAGATCAGGTATGCCTTCCCTAGGAAACCTGTCCAAAATGATCCGTCCCGCCCGCCTAAGGTCCTCGGCTCAAGCTTGTCGTTGTTTTGGACCTAGCCTAGGTCACTAGACAGATTACATGTACCTTTGCCAGATTTCTACAGCAGCTACTGTCGTTCCCCCGGTGTCCAACTATGTTTGACGCATAAGGGATCATCCTGAATATGAGCAACATGTTACCTGTACTGGAAACGAAGTAGCAGAGCAAAGATTCCTTCTTGCATGGGCTTATTTCGACTCTCTCTCATTGAAGTTGTTGTGCCATGCTCCGCCAAAACCATTGGATCTCCTTCCGCACAACCGTGCGGCAAATCAGGATTTGCAGGTCGCGGGCCCAGCCACTGGGGTAGGGATCTGCCGCGAAGTGTGGCGACACCGGACACAGCCTCAGCCTGTGAAGCTTGGCTGGGTGCTACCTTACCTTGGACAAAAAATCCGGGCCCGAAACCCTTTTCTCTCAACAGACGACGAGGTACTGAGGTGTTCTGTAGGCTTTCAATGGCCCTGGAAAAGATAAGCCTCACATCCTTGGATGAGATCCTTGGATGGGAAAATTCATGTGACGCAGGTCAAGTGATCGCAACCGCGGTCACAAGCTCTGGCAACCGACGGGCTGTCAAGCCAGCCACCCGAGGTGCGGCAAACAGCGGCGGAGCCGCCTGCGTCGGCGACAGGCGAAGGTCGCGGGGGCCAAAAATACCTAGGTAGTCAGCAGACCTACATACAGCTTGCCGCAACGGCATAGGAGCCGACTTCTGCCGACTTTGGTGCGCGCAAGACTGTACCACGTCCGCTTGAATGATTCCACGACGACCCGTTTGTTGCCTTCTGCCGCGACTACGATCGGACAACCGTCGCTCTGTCAGACTCCCAAGCGAGCATTCGCATCCGTCTAGGGTGCCATCACAAACCTACACTGTCTCTCCCTGCGATGCCGACAACGGGTCACAGAGCAGCCAGCTACTGTTTGAACGGTATCCTAAGATTGCCAGGGGACACCGTGTTCAATTTTGTTCGCAAAGGAAACCATTTTGCCACCATACCAATATGTCATGGTTGAGTTTTTCGATATCGACGACATGGTAAGGATATTTGCTTGCCTTCCGGACGTGTTTCTGGGCGACAGCCCCTTGTTTGAGTCAACAGCAACCGGTTCGGCATTTTGGCGACTCGATTGGACGGCAGATTGATTGGTGACAGATCTCAATCTGCTTCTGGAGAGGTTCGAGAACGGTTGTTGCTGGAGCCAGGCCCGTTCCTAATCCGGCCATCTTAGTAGGTATTAACCTCTCCTGATGACCATGACCTTGCTCATCCGCCTGTCCCCTATCCTGACGTCAAAATCGTTGCGCCATTAACGCGGCCATTGCTGCTCAGCGAGCTATCGCTGCGTCCCTCAGGAGTCAAGGGGAAATCCCTAGGAGCGTTTTGACTCCAACCGTCTCTCCTCATGATGGACTCTAGCATCCTTTAGCTCATGATTGGTCGAATATCAAGCCATAAATTCAGTATTTTTGCCAATCATGATGAAGTTGCTCGGCCTTTCCCCGTCGAGGCCCACATAGTCCGGATCTGGCCTTCAGCTCAACAGCCAATGAGGCACCAGAAGCCAGCTTTTTCCCAGACACACCTCAGCTCACCTCGGCCGCTAGCAAGGAGTGCAACCTTGCAAAAAGCCATCTACAGGCTGTCATTACTCGACGTCTACACCCTCAACCACCCATTCTTCCTCTCCACAACGATGTTGGATCCCGTTCCATTTGGACGGACCGACCCCCTTCGACTCGGCGGATGATCGAAGTTCAGAAGGGAGAAGGGCAATCCCACGCTTGCGGAAACGCTCTACACGCCAGTTCTCAGACGGAATAGCACCGCTGCCATTGTGGTACGTTGCGCCATCTGGTCTGATGTTGCTGTTCCAAGGCGGAGCTCGGCCGGGATTGCAGGCGGTTGAATATTAGTGTTGGTTCCTTTGGCGGTTCTTCCTATGGGCTCTTTGGCCGCTCCAATCACGGTAGTGCCCTGAGTCTCGTGAAAGTCGAGCCGGCCCAGCGATTGCGACCCTATTCACGAAAGAGGTCTAAGTTACATTTGGAGATGCCCAGTCAATGTCACATATGATGATATGCGGGTTATTGGGGGCTACCCGCCGTCGCGGCCGCGCCTGCGTCGTTTCAAAGACGATCTCCTGCTAGAGCCTACATGATGCAGGGCGACACGCAGAAGTGTCCTGAAGGCACATGCAAGTCATACTGGTACTAATAATTGTCAGAATGTGAGAATCAGCGTCTGAACCACACGACTGGTCAAGACAGACAGGCCATGACATGATGATTATCAGAGGCCGGCTCGTTCATCTCCGACGAGGTCTCAGCTAAGCCAGCACAGGATTGAGTATCATTTACCAGCCCGATCGCGATGGCTGTCTTGGCCATGATGTTACCTCTAGAGGCCAGTCGACGGTGGCAATACTTTGTCCCTGAACTAGCTAATAAGAAGCAAGCCGTAGTCTCCGGATCGTCGAAGTTGGATAAATTCAGCCGGGTGCATAAGCACAAGCTCTCGACGGAACCTCAGGATCGTTTCCTAGCGTCAGACGAGTCGACATTGGCTTCAGTTTCTCACACCTGCATATTCCAGTACTACCCATCCTAGACGATAACAAGTCTGGACCTGCGTGGGCACGGCGGGCTCGTATGCCTTGAGCACGATATCACAAACGTTTCCCAATCATGGCAGCCCTCGCGACGGTTGTACACTAAAGGCTCTGCACAAGCAGATCTGATACCTCGCAAAAAGAGCAAGGTGCATGATCATGGAACAGGCAAGGAGTTGAAGGGGGCGCGATGGGTAATATTTGGAATATGATATATCGAAAACTGTCTGGTGAGAAGGCCCGGCTCGGATAGTTTGAAATGACCGCGGAAGCGATCTAGACGGCCCCGGTGCAGACCCAGCCAGAGGTTGACCTGATTGTTGGACACTTGTCAGACGAAGCGCTACATTGACCGTGGACGTGAGGCAATCGCTCAGGCGCCTCTTGGTCTCCCCCACCTCACTGAGCATCGCTTCAAAGACACTGGCAGCTCTTCAACCAGGACGCACCCTGCAGCCTCCAAGTCAGGGGTGCCTTTTTCAAGAGATACATGTGAAAGAAGGCGCTTGTTGTTGATGGGTGCCGACAAGCAGGGGTAATCCTTCTTTGAGACAGAAACATTTCTGACAAGCCGTGACAAGCCAGCCCTGCTTGTTTCTTTTCTGTCAACCGGCTGCCCGGGGACTTTGGCAGTTGGGTTGGCGGTTCGTGTGACGGCAACGACAGCTCGGAGATGTCTCTCATCGGGCCTGTCTCTAGCCGGAGAGACACGGATTCAGATTCAGAATTCAGACTTAATGACGACGAGTTTTTCATGGGTGTTATCAAATCAGGACAGTTGGCCGTGGACTTTTGCAAATGCAACGGAGTACAGAGAGGGGGAAAGTATCTCTCTGGTGAAGAGATGCGGATGATACTTGAGCGACGCACTCTTTTTGGAGAGAGGGTACCCGGCCCCGAGGTGGCGGCGACTTGCTACCTATTGCGAGAGGGGGGTAAGTTGACTAAAACAACAGGCCCACAGGCCCAGCAGCCCGGATTCTATCTGTGTCCTTGATCGAGAAACAAGGCATCTCAGGCAACGGACAAAGGCCAACGTATTCGTACGGAACATATCATCCAAGAGGCAAGGTACGGCTACCACGGCGACTTACCTGCCTTGTCTGGATTTGGATTGTGGCCATGCCGCCATACTGTGTATTAGGGCGTATAAGGGTCGGCAACAAGGGTTCAGTTTTAGGCTGCGCTTGCTAAAGTACCGTCCTCTTGTTCGCACAGGCCACGGAGTCCAGGTAGACAACAGTCCGGTTTGCCTCACGAATGGCGGCAAGACGGGCTTACCTCGACAGAACCCAATCTAGGCGTCTGGGTGTTCAAGCATGAGGTCGCCTGAAATGCCAGCTCGTGAGACTACCTCGCGACCACATCGCCACATTTCAACGGGGCCATGACGGTTGAGTCTCTTGAACATCCCGAGGCACGCGATCTCTCTCGCCTTGAGGAAGACTTGTGTGGCGTATCTGAGGACGCGAGAAGCCTCTGAACGGGCCACGGACGACACCGACAAGCCACAGCCGACTTACGCAGACCCGCGGAGAAGTACACGGACACTTTGCTAGAAAGAACGGACCAAAAATTCGGATTGGGATGGCTTCCACGAGTCCTTACAGAACAAGACTGGAGGGGAAGTTGGAACGGCGGCGAGAGACACCAGTGACCCAGACAATGCAAGGCAAGGCAAGGCATGGCATGGCATAGCATGGCATGGCAGCACGGCCAGGCCTACGCTTGCACCTGCACTGACATCGGTCATTCAGCTCGCTGCTGGAGGATTTTGGGCACTTTTGCGGAATCCGACGGTTCCCATTCGCCTGACCTCTCGGATTCTGTCATTGAGCATATGCAGGTCGCAGCACAGCCCTGGTCTTGTACGGCTGTTGTCCCTACTGTAATTTTTGGGAGCCCCCCCGCTTCTGTCCTGGTGAGTTTTTCGCCGCCGCCGAGCCGCCGTCGCTTTCGCTCGCTCGCTCGCTTCATGCAGCGCATGCGCTGCGCAGCTCGGCACGTACTCTGTATCTGTATGTGCAGAGATCGGATACTCCTTTATTTTTTTCTCCTCTGAACCTTTTTTTAGAGTGCGCTCCATCGATTTGGTTCCAGAAAAAGCGGGAAGACTTTGACTTTACGCAGTACCTCGCTTCTCATTGCCGCCAACCGAATCTGCCGCGAATCTTTTGAATCGGGATTGCGGCCGAAGGGAGACGGACGGCAAATCAGTAGCAATGTTCCACTCTTGGCCTACCCTTCGGTCTGCGGACACTTTGCCTTGGACGTATTCGTACATGGCTCCGAATCCCATCCAGGGTATGATGCCGAAGTCTGTTCTGACCCAAAGACGGATCTACCAGAGCGTTTTGCGCCGCTCCCGAGGCCCCGTACCCAAGCCCATAGGAATCGCTCGTTTGTCTTCGCCTTACCACGCCCGGCCTAAGCAAGCCTTACCCGAGGTCGAATGGATTGCCGCGCCTGGGTTTCCTGTGCGCTTTGTCGCCTCTTAGCATGGTGTTGGTGTAATTTCGAGATTGTTGGAACGATGTTCAAGACCCGTCCCAAATCTCTCTCTCTCTTCCAAGAAGGTTGTATTCCACAGCGTTGGGCCAATAACGAAATGTGGCGCAGATGCAAAAGACGACGCACGCCTCACACAACGCACCCCAGAAGCCGTGATCTATCAAGTCTGGACAGCCTAAACCAAGATGGGAAATGTACGTCTAAAAACCTTTGACACAAAAAAAAAATAGCAGGAAGCAGTATCCATAACGGATAGCCAAATTCATCATGTCGCTATTAAACGTTCCGACTCAACGGGCAGCCTTCCAGCCATCTCGCCTCAGTCAGCGGCACTTCATCAACGCCACCAGCCAACCAGACAAGGTTTGGTAACATCGCCCTCACAACTCTCACAGACGGGGGCTCCCACCGGCAATAGAGAAAAAAGCCAAAGACGGAAGGAGGACCAAAAAAAGATGCTGGCCCAAGCTTGCGGCGCACGCAGGCGACGGCATCCGAAGCAGTCAGGGAGCTCCTGGCTTGTTCTAGGCTACATAGCCTAAGTTTGCCAACCTGCCAAACCTTGCTTCGGCTCACTCAGCTGTGTGGTTGCTTGGTGTACTTACTTTGCAACTGACATGACAGACTCACGCAAACATGTAGCCGCAGGTGTGGTGTCTACCTGCCTCCTTTGTACATGCAAGCAAAAGAGAGGCTACCCCGAGAGGGCGGCCGTGGGCCGAGGTGGGCTGGAAAACTGACTACTGAATAGTAAGGCCAGGCGAGTTTGGTTGCAATGTTGACGAAGGACGACGAAGAGGGCATTAGTGGAATGCCGATTGTGAAAGTGAACGGACTCGAGAGGCCAACGACCAACGCAGGTCCACGTTCGTTGGAGTCCTCCCATCCACCGACTTGACGTGTCCTACTGGATTTTGACCAGATCCGTCATGGGTTAGGATACTCTACGCAGGTTGGCATGAACAAGACGAGCATCAACGGCGGCAACGCTAACACCATGCCAGCGAGCTTGGGCTCCAGCTTCCAGCTCCCCCCCCGCCGCCGCCAGCCCTCAGCTCCATAGTGTGTCCCATGATGGAGGCAACAAGCCCCCTGTTGGAAGCAAGAAAAAAAAAAGGTGGATGGAGTCCCGGGTGAGGCGAGGAGGAGACCTGGAAGCCGGCCCAAGATGCATGCACCGCGCACCGAGGCTACCCTAACCTGAGGCCTACCTGCGTACTTCTCTGTACAGAGCCAGCCAGTCATTCAGAGTGTCTCTAGTGCCTGTCCTTGGATCAGACGCATGTACCGGTCCAGGGCCAGACATGTACCTCCCCGAGGTACATACCTATAGCAAGTAGGCCCCGGCGCCTTAGGGGGATCCGATGCTACTGCACAGCGCGCTGCGTTGCCCCCGCCGGCGCGCATCTCCATGGATGATGGATGTTCTGTCCTCCTGTCTCTTCCAGCTAGGTACCTACTGTGGGCTGGAAGCTCTGGGTTCTGAGCTCCAGAAACTGAGAGATCTGGTTCTGGCTATGGTTCTCTCCTTCTCCACTTGCTCCTCAACTAGTACGGGGTGCAAAGAGCGAGGAGCAAGGAGCAGCCAGTGACAAGTTCCTAGTGGAGGTAACCTGCCACACCCCTCCCCTCCCCTCCCCTCCCCCCATCCTTCCCTTCTGCCTGCGCCCTCCTCCCTCCTCCCACCTCCTGGACCATGGACCGCCTGCCGAAAGCCCACCGGGCTGGTTGAGGCGAATGGGAAAGAGGTAGTCAGTCAGTCAGTCAGTACCTACCGACTTTGGTGAGCAGGTAGGAGTGCGGGAGGTGCGAGAAGAGGCTGCGGGACACACTCGGAAGAAAAAGACTCAATTTCGTGTATCTTGGTACTTGACTTGACCGCCGGATACACCCCTGTTCCACGCATAAGTCCAAGTCCTCGAGTACTTGTCACTTCACCGTACCGCAGCCGCAGCACCACACCTGATGGGAGCGAATTACCACCCCCATGACAGGCCTTGACTGCGCTGAACAGCAGTGAGCATGAGTGGGCAAAGAGGCAAAGAAGGTTGACCGCAGCTCTCCCCACATCCTTCTCTGTCCAGGGCTGTCTCTTTCTCGGGCGATTATAACACCCCACCACCCTCGCACCATATCCGGCCTGCTTCTCACCCTCCCTCTTTCTCTTCACGAGCTCTTCGTCCACCTTCTTCTTCTTCTTATTCGCGGTAGCAGGCGTGCAAGCCAAATATCCCTTGTTATCCTCCCGGAATTCTTGGGACCGCCCAGCTCCGTCATCACTTGTTTCCTTTATTACTTCATTTTCCCTCCCCGTCTACCTCTCCCCGCTGTCCTCGAGGTGTCTTACCAAGATTCAAGATCAACAAGAATACCGCCCAAGATATCAACCACCAAAAAAGCCCATCTACCAAGAGTTATCCTTGACGACGACAACGACGACGAAGACGATAACGACAACGATAACAGCAACGCCGTCTCTTTTTTGTTACCTCTCACGCCAACTCATCCGCCTCGTTCCCTCTTCGGCCACAGACCCTTCTCCATCCTCCCCACAGACACCTCCAAACAAGATGCCTGTTCAACTGTTACCAGCCTCCGCGGCTGCTTTCGCCCCGAGAGCCTCATCAGTCAACGTCGTGCTGGGATCCAAGGTCGAACCGTGGTTGACACAGACACTGAAGCGCATCAACCGGATTAAGCGTCCACTCAACAGCGTCCCGCAACACCAGAGATGTCTGACCGAGACTCTCTCATCACCCAACGCCATCTGGACTCTCACTTCCATCATGCTTCCCAAGGCCCCAGAATCCGAATTGCGCCAGGACTCCAACCCCCTCGTCGAGGCCCTGTTCAACTACCAGCTTCTCCACATCGAAGCATACATTGTCCACGTCGACATGGTCCTGCGCAACGAGGTCGCTTTCAAGCTCACCACCGACTCAATAGACGCCCTGGTCGAGTATCACAAGGAAATTCACTGCATCGACACCAAGGCCAACACCTATGACTGGTCTGAGAAGGACCAACAGTGCAAGAAGCTGCATGAGGATTTTGTCCAAGCCATCAACAAGTTTGTCTACCGGACACATGTTACCGCCTTGGAAGGGCTTGAGGAAGAAGGCGCAGGCGAACTGCTCTCTGGTAAGAGCGAGGAGGTCAAGAACAACATCATGGGCCTCATGAAGCCCTTGCTGCCTCCTCCTCCCCGTGTTGTCGATGTCATCAGACAACCTCCCCTGCTCCCTAGTTCACCCGCAAACGCAAGCCTCTGGTCGCAACCCCCTACGCCAGCCAGCATGGTCGCCGTCGATGCATGGAGAGTTCTTCCCTCAAGTCCGAGCATCGCATCCACTTCTCAAGAGTCGACGCCAATCTGGGCCAACATTGGCATGAGCGAGGTTCAAATCCCCTCCCCTACGCCTGCATACAGCCAACCCTTCTCCACGGCCGGATTCTACTATAGCGCACCAGCAATCACAGCGCCCATCCCCGCGTTGCCTCTCCCCAGCATGTTCACGCCTCAGTGTGGTGTGAGCGTCGGCTACGGTGGCTTCGGCTGGGATCGCTACCAGGAGTACACGACAACGATGTGACAATCAGAACCTGTTACATCTGAGACTTACCCTGTCGTAACGACCTCATAGCATTGCCAGGCACGATGGTCCCATGTTTCCCGGAGAAAAGTTGAATTCCTCTCGGTCTGCTCGGCATTGAATCATCCACAGGCATATCGGCGTTTTGCATCAGCAGGGGAGCGAACGGTGTTACGGGACTCGCGAGATCAACCAAACCAAAAAGATGTAATCCGGCTTTTTTTCTTTTGTCGGCAGCAAGCGAGCGTATGATATTTTACTGTCTTTTCGATATCCGGGGAACAACAACAAGCACAACCACCAAACACTCTGCCGCAAGCTCGGTCACCTCTCATTCGAATCATCTCATCATGGCTGGGTCCGGGGCGGGCATTTGAGTGCATTTACATTTGGGTTGGGGGGTCTTTCGAACATATAGGCGGCCTGATCTCTTTTCCCCGTTTCTCTTATTTCCTTTGGGTCTTCTCTCATCTACACAAGAGGAACACGCAGCAATGCAAAAACCCCCCGCTCGGCTCCAGGCCTGGAGCCCGAGACAGAAGAGACCGACAACCTTTTGATTCTCGATTCCCCCGTTCTGGACTTCAACTTTTTTTGTCTATTTTCGTGTTTGGTTCAAGAGGCTTTCTTAGAGATACCCCCATCGGCATTACACTGGATCGGAAGATACCAACCGCTGCGCATTTTGCTCTTTTTTTTCATTTCCTTGGGCTTGGATTCTTGTCTTACGGATGATTCATGACGACCATTTCACGACCACTGACGAATATTCACGACTGCGCGCTCAACGATACGAATCAAGACGACGTTGCTCCGGGCTAGACGCCACGACATGCGGTTCTCTTGGTTTTCTTCGCTTCGCACAGGCTATTGAATTTCACGTTTGACAGCAAAAGGCTTGCAACCCGGACTGGATCCAATAATGGCAATGCTTTTTTGCGGCAAAAGGTCGATAAACACACATACAACAATCATCACGTAGCTGAGGCATGGTTGTATCCGGGATACAATTGTCAAGGCAGACACTGGCTTGTCGACAAGATCTTGGCTTCAGCCGTCCCCTTGATGCCCATCGCGGCGCGAGAGGGTGACGGCTGGCATGGAAATGGAGGAGAGATGGGACTCGAATCAACAAAACAAAAGAAGCTGGGCATCGCAGAAAAGACATCTTGCTGGGCAGGATACGATGCAGAGACCTCTGGCCACAGCCTCGGACTCTCTGCTCCCACGCTCACTATCTTTCCCCGCTCGACTTGGGCGGGCGCGAACGAACCCAAATCGGGCCATGCTGATCACCCCACGTGGGACACAAGTACGACACTACGGAGACCTGCGAGTCGGGGCTGGATGTGAACGGAAAGTTGCTCCCAGGCTGGGGGTCATTGTATGGGATCCGGGGAAGGGGGGTCGCGCCCGTGGCAGCTTCGGGTTGGGGGAAAACGAGGGCAAGGGACAGGGAGGAAACGGCGACGTGTAGCTCGCCCTCCTGCATGAGATACTCCGCCGTCGCCGAAGAAGACTCGGAGAAGCATTAGATTGCTTTGGCGGGGGAACGAAAGCCGCATGGTAACACAACGCCGGGTTTCTGGATCTGCTGTGCAGGACCAGGAACTTGGTTTGTTTGTTTTTTCTTACCGCGGCAGAGGGTGCAGGAAAACTTTTTTTTTCTTTTCTTTTCTTAGCAAGGGGGATATCATGAGCGATCTTGAGGCAACCCTGGAGGTTCTGGCCCAGGTCTGGCTTACACGCAGCTCAATGGGTTATTTTGCATTTTACGTTATTAGTTAATTCGAACGGGATTCTGTTCACCAACGTGCGTCTCGTGTCCCCTCTCCCCTCATCGCATGAGTGACTTTTTTCCCCCTCCTTTAACCCCCTCCTCCCACTGTGACTCCAAGTGCGGAGGTGAGTGAGTGAGCAAGCATGCGGGTTGAGTCAGATGGGATGTTGGAGAGAGGTAACTAAGTAAGCCTTGGGACTTCGAGGAGTGGTACCAAAGGTGGCAAGACCCTGAAGACGACAAGACACACAGCCCAAGGGATCAGAGTTGATGGGAGAACAGAGTTGGGACGCTCGCATGTTCATGCACTTTTGGGAAGGAAACAGGAAAAAGATCTACCCCTCCAACAACTACATGTTTTTTTTTTTGTTTTTTTTTTAATTCTTCATTTTTCAGCTTTGATGGGGGGGGAAATTGGGTGTGTGTGCGTGTGTGGGTGGTGCTTATTCCCTTGAAAGCCTTGTCACGACCAGCATCCCCGCGTTTTCCGTGTTTCCTCCGTTTCTGCATGTTTCTCTATTTCGGGCACCAAGTTTCGACAGGACCGTCCATCCCGGTTTCGGGGGAAGAAGCATACTATTATGTGAGATTCGAAAAGTGTTGACAAGCACAGCCGGCTGCGGCAAGGAAGGGATAACCAAGGCAATGAAGGTTAGACAGATAGATAGCCAGTTAGCCAGCCTCAAAAACACCAAACGTAACGCAAAAGATTAAAAAGTAAAAAAATAAAATAAAAAAAAAGGTTGTGAATGGTCTGGGTCCAGGACCAGGTTCGGACGGGTTGGTGATGTTTCCTTTCTCTCAGAAGTCAGCGCAGTGCATCCAACGCATGACTCGGCAAAAGACACTTACACTACTGAGAGTTCGTCAGTCTAGGTGGGGCCGGAAGCTGTTTCTCATGGTCTCGAAGGTCTCAAAGGTGACAGATCACGAGAACGACTGGTCCCTCACCTAAAAGCGTCTTCAGAGTTGGTATACTGCTGTGTCGGGTTTTAGCGCTTTCCTTTGAGTCTCAAAGGCTTGTTTGGGTGCAAGTCATCCGTCTAGACTCTAGGATGCTACCTATGCTCTTTGGTCTCGGAGCAAAACCTGCGGCAAGGTGAGATAAAAATCAACCCTATCGAGGCAATGTAGTCGTCATGATTTAACAGTTTAGACCTCCCCACCCCCCGTCAAGATCAGTCCACTCTTTCGAGGCAAGAGCGCACGCAGAGCAAGAATCTTGCGAGAAACAAAGCCTATCTGGAGGACGAGCGGCACTGAACGGGAAGTTCTAGAAGACGGGGGTTTCTAGGGACGATCAGCGGGTACCGCTGTTCATTGTGTCTGAGCGTCCTGCTGCCGGTGGGCACAAAGCAATGGCCCATCCTGGTCTGGCCGCTGTCGGTCAGTCGCATGCCCAGCTAACACAATTCCCACCCCCCTACATGGACCACACCACCACACCTTTTCGGAACACGGTCCAGCTCCAAAGTCGGCCCTTTGCTGGTTGGCAGGCGCTCGCACGGACAGGGAACGTCTGAACGCCGGGGGAATTCTTGTCCTGTCGGATGTCGACAGGCAAGACAGACGTAACGGGCGGCCAGATGGGTTCAGCCGGTCCCGGGGAACGGGGAAAATGAAGCAAGGGAACTTTGGCACGGTTTCAACCACGACATTCGGATCTCTTGGTACGACGCGCGGGAGTTTCGACATCGGGAGGGCGTTAGAAGCGAACGCGCGAGAAAGAAGGAAAAGGGGTAAAACGGGTAAAAGAGGGGGGAAAGTGTCATTTGGTAGCGTTTCGAGCTCGGCTACTCAGCTGAAAGAAGGTGGGTGTTTGGAAATGGGTGTCTGTCTAGGTATTTGATATAGAAGATTTGGGTTGGCATCTATCATGTTTAGGAGGCGGGTGGTGCTGACGGGTGCTAGGGATGGTGTCATCCGGCGCTGCTGAATTGTTTGAGGCTCCGCGGAAGGAAGAGTTACGCGTCCCTGTTGGACAAACGCGTTGAGAGAAGAGACAGGTGTGGCGTGTAATAGAGTACAAATGGTCGCCGTCGGTTTGTTTTGGGGAACAGAGTTTAGGCTGAAGTCTTCTAATGGAAACGATCGTGGGAGTTGGGCATTTGACTTTCCTCGTCAACGGAGTGTCGACAAGAGACTTTTGCAATTTGGCGGCTCCAGGCTGACGGCGCATGAAGCCTTCCATGGGGTTGACAGGTGCAGCGCACGAGTAGGGGGACAATTGCTCCGCGCTTGACGCGAAGCAAAATTGCTCCCATGATTTTTTTTCTTTTTTTGCTTTTCCTATTGTGCAGAATGTCTCTGCCTGCCAAGAGAACTTACTCTGGTACGGAAGTGCGAATTTTAGGAAGTTGGGTTTGGCGGGCCAGGTCTACTTTCTTCGCAATGGCAACGTTCCACGTCGCATCCCTTTGACCGGCATCCGGGGACGGGAGAGATAGAGTGACGGGAAAGCCAAGGCGATGCCGAACTGGCTTGATGGGATCAACCCGGAAGACCAGCAACAGCCAGAGACAGACAGGGACGGTGTGGCTTGCCACTCATGGCTCGCAGGGATAGGAGCCTGGGTTGCGGCTGAGTCGCCCAAAGAGGATGGTGGGGCACGGCGGGTATGGCGGGCGTGGCATCTTGCCTGCCGTCCGTGCAATGCCAATGATATGTGCCCTCTTGACAAGACATTCCCTCTTGATGGATGGTGGTCGTGGTGGTCGTGGTGATCGTGGTGGTCGTGGTGGTGTGGTGCTGGTGGCTGTGCAGGACGGCAGTGCTCCAACGCCTATCCCACTTTGAAACGAAACATTTTGTGGGGGGACACGCAAGGAGGGGTCTCGCGCCCACATTGGTCGGCATACGAAACCGGGGTCCCGAACGGAATGGGCTCCGGAGGAGGGTTCCGGGGGAGAGCACGCCATTGACTGGCACATCTGCCACTTCTGCCATCGTCCATGTACTGTGTAGGGGGGAGACGTGCGGATGTGACCGAGACTCAATTCCGCCTTCATCATCTGCGACGTCTTATTGGGTCGCGGCATCGAGACGCGATCTGGCTTGGTTTGGTCAGGGACGAGTGTGGGGATGGGTATTGGATACCGTTAGAGGGGATCCGCGATGCCGCGTTTGGGGTCCATCTGAGATCCGCCGCTTTGCCAGCCATGTCCCAGAAGGGCCTGACAGTTGAAAGGGTACTTGGGCCAGCCGTTCTGCCATGTGGAATTCGTACCGAGAGAATCATCCAGGTAGCTAGCTGCTCGTAGCCGCTACATCGTAGGCGAAGTCGGTCATGTACCTTGCGCGCGGTAGAAAGAACGCAAAGGGTTCGGTGGACTTTGAAGCTTGAATCCGGCACAGTCAGACCTTGGACACCGGGCAGGGCCGGACGAGAGCGTCCGGCTGGCGTTCGAAGCCGACTCCTTGGCGCCGACTTGAGGGGGGGCGGCTTCAGCTGGGAGAGGCCAAGTGAGGGCGTGGTCAAGTCTCGGCTGTCTGTGCCCGTCACTTGCAGGATCCAGAGGAATCCTGTATCGCATTCTGACAAATAAGACGTAAGGTTTTCGAGGGGATCGACAGGCTTGGGACCCATCCCAGACTCGTCCATAGGTAGGATCGAGGTGTCGAGATGAGACGGTCTTTGGCCATGAAATATCTCTATCCGTCATGATCGTAGCGGCTCCGTACCTAGTCGCGGCAGCACCGTTCGTCGAGCTGCAGACTCATGGTCCGGGCGTTCCCCCTTATTGTTTAGTCACACGATAGGAGCGCCGGGTGGACTATATAGATTGAATGTTCGGCCTTATGCGCTTGGGCTGGAGGTAGATCGCACATGCATGGCATCGGTATAACGATCGAATGGATTCCTCGAATTGTTGTCAGCACCCGGTTGTTCTTGAGCATGTGATTCAGTCTACCTTAGATTGAGTCTTCTGTCACAACGCCTTGTGAGCCTTGGTTCTGGCACAACACGGTGGGGTGGCACATCGCACGGCGATGTCGATAGTGATAGCTACCGATGATCTTGAAGAGCATTGCACAAATTTCGATGGAAGAGCAAAGTATAGAGGCGTCATAGAACAAGGCCATCGATCTGAACGTTAGCATATGTTGTTTTCAATCGTGTAGATGAAAACCGGATGCTGGGAAGGGACAGCTGGAAAGTTGCCGTGGACTGCGACAGTCACCTTATGGACTGGTCGCACTTGCTCTGTTTAACTGCCTGTCTGTTGGTCGTTGCTTCCTTCCGTAGCTCGTGAAGCTTGGAATTATTTTGTCCCTTGGGCGAGGAAGGAGAAAAGGCCCTATGCCAAGAAGGGGCTCTCGTCGTCACGGAAAGCGCTTTGGTCGAGTGGTACCGCATCGTGTGCGTGGCGGAAGCGTGGAAGGAGTTAGCTAGCACTCCTTCCACGTCCCTCTCGGTAGCAGAAGGGAAAAGGTACCCGCGACACCCATGATGTTTTTTTCATGATGGAGTGTTGTGAAATGAATAAGTCGGGCCAGAATCATGGATTCCATCTTTACTGTGCCATCTGCTTTTATCTTTTGAGTCTACATAGCTTTATATTTGACCTTGTCCATGTATGGCCAGCCATCTCCTACCAAATGTGCCATTGACACTGTGATTAGCGAGCAGTGTTTAGCTCTATGTTGCAGCCACACTCCCCTTTTCGCCGACAAGGGATCTCAATGAATGTATGCATACGGCAACCTTGATCGATCATTGTGCGACCAACTGAGCTAGCTTCTCCCACCTACATAAGACCACCGCAACGTTGAAGAGGACCATCTTCACCACTAGCATGACATCAAAAAGTGAACAAGACAAGTTCGACCAGGCTATTCTTACGTCTTCTTTAGAGCTTCTGACCATTCTCAAACCGTCCCTTGAGGACCTTGATCTCTTCCTCAGTGAGAGCGGCCTTGGCGGTAGCGTGTAGGGATATGACGTAGGCCACCAGACTGCCGGTCTTTGTGGGTTCGTCGGCCAGTCCGCGTGCCTCGAGCAGGGTGCGGGCCTGCAGTGGGTCGTTGACGAACTGAGAGAGGAGAGACAGCTCGTCAGAGTCGAGGATGGGGCACGCGTCTTCGTTGCAATTGATGATCTCCTGGGCCAGAGTGTGGTGGAATTAAGGCGCTTGCGGATTAGAAAGTAGATAAAGTGCGCAGTCTGACTGCGGTTGCAACGTCAGATTTTATACCAGAAGCGTAGATGCGACCGCCCCTCGCATCAATCAACGGCGGGCAATACGCTTCGCTTCAAATATTTAACGCAACCTATGGCGCAAAAAACTGAACCCAAGGAAAACAAGCCCGATGGTTGAGAAATGCCTGGTTCAGGCAACAGCGTTGATAACAAAGTGTGGCATGGTAGAGACCTGCCGGGATAAGGATGCGACTCTACTTCTTATTGCCGATACCACAGACTTATCACAATCTAGCAACCAACATCACTGAATTTCCGTTCAAAATCAGTCTGAACAATTTGTAACCCGGACAACGTCGACCACACCGTTCCCGAGTGGATGTCTACAGGGAACATGGTGAGGTCTAGATGGGGGGCACTGACCCATTGAGCCATCCGCAGAGCGACAGAGAGAACACCTCTCCCTCTCCATCTGCGTTTGAATAAAGGCGATCAAAAACATTTGCTTTTACCACCAGTCAGATATTATGTCACCGATCTAGTAGCTTGTCCGAATCACTAAATGCCGTTGCAGGGGTTTCCTTCGAGCTGCTTTATGCACATTTTGGGTAACCGTTTGAGGCAACATTTGAGACATTGCAAATTAAGAAACTTATTCTCGGTTCCGATTTTATCGAGGCTTGAGACAATCGATCGACTTGGAATTACAAAGGCCGAAGTCATCGCAGGTTAGCCGGGATGGTGACCGGAGACGCATTTGGAGGCGGGGCCGGTGTAAGACTGGAACCCACCGGCAGCGGGCCGAGCTCTCGGGCGACCCACCTGCCAGAAAACATAGGTCGTCGACGTCTTCCGAATTATCATCCTCGGGGCCCATGGCCCGTGTGAAATGTTCGGTGACATTTGAAGTGAATGAACGTTATTTCCGGGCTTACTGAATGATGCTCTAATACTACAGCATAAGTAGAGGTAAACCTACATGGCGGAGAGAGCAGAACCACAGTAAGTGTACAGGTAAAAGTAAATTACCAGTAGACACGTTGAAGCAAATGAATTTGGCTCGGGAAAGCCTACCATAGGCCAATCAGTAAGAACTGGAGTGGATTTGCCTTGACCAGAATTTTTCCCGAGGCTCGGTGAAAAATTACTGTAAAAGACAGCATCATCCGCGCCAGGCCCCTACCCCCGCCGGTACTGCTTATAAGTAAACAACGCAGTGAGATGAGACTCTACGACCACAGATTTGGCCATTTGTGAGAGCGGGCAAATGGGACCTGCCCGACGGGCCTGGCCGGCGGTCCGACTCACTCGTCTATCACGCCCGTCCAACGTCAGCTTCGTGATGCCGGACTCTCTTGGCTATTCTTGGCGATGACGGAGAGCCAGAGGGACGAGGAGCGGGTGCATCTATATAACACTGGCGGGCGGCAGCTCACTCACCGCTGGGACAGTCAGATCCTACAGATTCACTTTTCGAAAGAAGAAAAGAAGAAAAAGAAGCAAAAAAGCTGAAGAGAAGAGAACCTTCCCATTGAGTCCTCCAAAATGACAACCCAAGGCATCGTTTCCGTCTTTCAGACCTTCCTGGACGCACTAAACAACCAGAAGTGGGAGGAAGCCCACAATCACCTCCAGCCGGTGCTGACAGCGACCTACAACGAAACCGCGGAAAGCAGAGACGAATTCGTCAACCGCCTCACCGCAACCGTCGAGACGGGCGGCCAGCTCAGCGCGGACCAGTGGACCGTCGACGAGGCAGCACAGTCCCTCGGCGCCCGCCTCATCACCACCACAATCGACGCCGCCAAGGTCTGGGACATTGTCCTCGTCTTCTTCGGAAGCGGCAAGATTGCGCGCTGTTACCAGATCGCGAACCCGCAGCCCGGACCGTTTGGGCCCGAAGTCGCCGCCAAGCCCTCCCAGAACCCGTTGTCAGCCGCCGCGATCGAGGCGCTGTACCGGAAGTACATCTACAGCTACAACGACGGCTCCATGCCCACGGTCCTGCCGGCGCTGTGGGCCAAGGAGGTCGTGCTGCATGGCGAACTGGTGCCGTCGCAGGCGGCCGTGGGCTTCCTCGGCAAGATTCTGTTGCCCGTCGTCGCCGGTCTCAAGTACGAGGTCGACGAACTGGTCGTCGACGAGAAGAAGCAGCAGATCGCCGTCAGGCTGTCCATCTCGGGCGTGCCGCAGAACAAGAATCTCCAGAAGAACGGCCCGGGCGGAGAGGTCACGGTCTACGAGCAAGCGTTATACGGGTTCGAGGAGGGCAAGATTGCTTGGGCGTGGGCTTCACAGGCGTTCGATATGACGCCTCCGTCGTCGTAGAGCGGTGGACAGTTGTGCTCCCATGGTTCATCGGAAGTAGAGGGTGAGCCATTAGCCAGGTTCAACGCCATGTGCTTTGATTCAGTAGAGAGAATGGAAACAATCCACAACCGATGGACTGATAATTTGCTGCATGGTATCCAGCGCCGACGAGATTTCACTCCTTACAACGCCCAGCAATGTATAACGATACTTTTTGTAGTATACTGCTCGTTCATGATGAATGTGACTCTGTCAGAACCATGAAGCATTCCTCAACTCTGACCCCAAAACATTCCGATTCTATTGCTGCACTTGAGCATATTGTAGAATCCTCCCACTGTCGGCTATGATATATCCAAGACGTACTGAGCTTACTCTTGCGGTTCTGGGTACGTGGCTGGAACCCGCCATGGCGCTGTTCGAGGATACGGAGCCAGTGATTTAAGATGCTTTAAACAGGGAAAATATAATGTTAAAGACGTAGATAATTTTCTGGAAGAGACATGAAGGCTTCCACCGAACCAGCTGTGGTGGGAACTCAAAGTCTCGCAACATCTCCATTGCCATAACTGTTCTCGTCTATGACCCTCTCTCATTGCGTTATGAAGAACGTCAAGCCCACACTCAAATGCAGAATCTCTCGCAAGCGAAGGAACGCAAGCGAAGGAAGATGCCAAAGATAAACAAAGAGAAGCCTGTAACGGCGCAAGAGCTATCCTCGACGCCTTCCAAACCGACGACCTCGTCTATAAGCGCCGATCCAGTGCTGGGACACAGGGTTGTCATTCTCATTCACAATTTCCTCCAATCGGCAAAGGAACCCGATGCGCAACGACGCATGGATGCTAAGGCCGACGTCAACTACATGAGTGGCCCTCATTTCGATGAAGATCACGTCAAGAAAGTCGGAGAATCTACTATGAATGTCGAGTTTCCAACGACTACCACTACAACCACTCAAGTCAATTACGACGACGAAAATGAAGAAAGTCATGCGAAACTCAAGATAAAAGGGTTGAGTGTGGATGATGCTATCAAAACCTTGATGAAGGGGTTCTTGGACAAGCGCAGGGCCAGCAGAGACTCTAGGTGTTGCGGATCACACGACGTAGCTCCAATATATGAAGCTTTTTTTTTTTTTTGGCATACAAGGGTCCGAGGCTCAGTCCGATAACTTCTTGAGCCAGCTGAAGGGAGGCGGGGTATGAGGTGGTTCCTTGTCCCCTGGCCTTCGGCGACGGAGTCCTCGCCGAAGGTACTTGGAGATCTTGGGCTCTTCGGTGGATGTTGGAGAGAAAGGTGGCTGCCATCTCAATCATAAGAAGTAACGACAGAGAAATCTCACGTTGTTTACTATGCAACATCAATTTAAATAAGTCCCCGACGGTTTTTTCCTCAATTTTTCATGCTGGTGTTGACAACTCTTAAAAGTTCGTATGATGACACTATTGCGGACTTCTGAAGTCCACATAAAGTGAAGGCTTCGAGATCTCTCCGACTCATTTCCCCTCCCATCCGCACTGAAGGATTGGTTTCTTTCCCCTGTTCCAACAGTCTGCGAAACAAGTTGGGCTGTGTCATGCGCCCCATACGGTCCAGATCAAAGACGGGGCGGGTAGGGCGCAGAGACGTGATTGGTCTCGCTGCAGCCAAGGATGACAGTGCCCAGCCGTTGGAGGCGAAGCGCCAAATCGCAGACCGGTGATTAGCTCCCGATTTCGGTAGTCCGCAGGATTACGACCGGTGTAGATACCAAGCTTGGGCCGTCTGCATGCTGTACGATTCTATCACCAACAGACTTAATCGAGGCCGCCTGGGTTGGAATATGCAAAAGGCACAGTTTATCGTCGGATACAAAACCACGGAAGCCGGTTCAAGGCCTCTTCGCGCGTGTTTCTTTCCACTTTCTCGGGTTTTTACTACTGTGTAGACCCATTTGTTCGGAACAGCTGCAGTCTGCACCGGGCCGGTAGTCCAGATGAGCGCCCTAGGAGGCAGTTTCTCGGAAAGGTCCGACGCCGCCTCCCCCATGAGTACTACCTCGGACACGAGTGATGAAGGTGTTGCACTCGAAATTGACGACAGTGTAAGTTGTTTTAACACCTTCTAACATAGACGCATCACACTCAGCTTATACCTACAAGGAGGACAATGATTCGACCCTTGACGACCGGATGTATGAAGAACTTGAGTCGCTCCACGTGTATAGAACTAATGACGCAGGTCGTCGTACACCAAGTCGGTGACCTCTAGCGCAACGGATTACCCTACAGAATATGGGCGGCGATATCATGCATTTAGAGCAGGAGGTAAGTGTATTGAATATCATGCTGCCACCCACAAGTGCCTCCGGGACCCTGCTCACTATGACACGGCCTACTTTGCTCCCAACGACGAGGTAAGCAATAGTTACACGTAAGAGACCTACTTGTACTGACGAGGATTTTCTGTCCTCTCAAGGATGAACTAGGTCGCCTAGATTTCAACCATGAGCTAGTCCTAAAGATCCTCGATTACAACCTCTTCTTAGCCCCAATCGACGAGAAGGAGATGCAGCGAGTACTTGATATCGGCACTGGCACGGGCATCTGTGAGTCTACGGACACTGTCTACCAGAGCACTAGAGCTGATAGATGGCAGGGGCTATTGAGATGGGTGACACTTTCCCAAACGCTCAGGTGTGTACTACTGCGATCACATTACACGACCGGAAGCTGAGTCGACAGATCATCGGCAACGACTTGAGTGCCACCCAACCAAACTTGTATGGTTTACCGCCTCTTGACACCTCAGGAACGCTAAGTACATAGCTAACCACGACAAGAGTTCCATCCAACGTGAGGTTCGAGATTGATGATGTGGAAAGTGATTGGCTCTATGAGGACCACTTCGACTTCATCTTCAGCCGTTACATGGCCGGATCTCTTTCAGATTGGCCCACACTTATAAGTCGCGCCTATGAGTATGTGATATTTAACACCGACGGCGCAATATCAGATATCTAATTACCTTGCGCACAGAAATTTGAGACCAGGCGGATGGATTGAATTCCAGGACTACGATTTCGAGTTCTCGTCCCATGATGGGAGCTTGACGCCAAATCACTATACTTATCAGTGGGATCATCTCTTCATGGAAGCCGCCAGAAGCGTTGGCCTCGACCCATGTCCTGGATCCAAGCTGGAGGCCTGGGTACGCGAGGCGGGATTCGTCAAGGTCACGCATCGTCTTATCAAGGTGCCTATCGGGCCGTGGGCTAAAGACCAGTATCACAAAGATATTGGCATGGGGAACTTGATCCAGCTTCTGGACGGGCTCGAGGCATTTACCTTGAGGCTATTCTGTGGGATTCTAGGCTGGACAGAGGAAAAGGTGTCGATGCTGCTGTCCCACGTCCGCCAAGAGCTGAGATCGGGCGCCTTCCATGCCTATGGCAAGTTGTGAGTAATGGACCAAGAAGAGTACGATGAACGAATCAGGGCTGACAAGACCAATAGCCATGTGGTATACGGACAGAAACCGAAATGGGAACCCTAGAATTATTCTGCCTGTGCACCAAAAAATAACTTAGATCAAGATCGAAATGTCTTTCGAGATGCCACACAGCCTGACGCATTGTTGACAAACAGTGCTCTTACTTGACTTGCCTGCCTCAGTTGGAAACATCCCCTGTCTGCTACCCTGGCGAATTGGCAGGTGTTACTGATGCAAATATATGAATTATGCATCGCTCCGGATTAGACAGAGTCAGGATCCACCGGTAGACCGGGGAAACCGGAACCTGTAGTCTTCATTGGCTTTGACAGAATACAGCCTGTACTGTGTGGTATGTAGCCAACAACGAACACCCCGCTGCTGGATCATTGGCAACGCTCTGATTAGTTTCTTACTCCGGCGGCATGCATGTGAAGCTGGAAAATGGCACGTTTGTTAGCATATTCTGCATGGGAGAACACACGTCGTGCACCAACAATGGGGCGCCAACGACCGGAAACCCGCAGGATGCAGGGAAACCAACGGCGTGTACTTTGTACAAAATTCGCTGATTGTCTACCTTAGCTAAGTCAGTCTCCCACTTATCCTGCCTTCTCCGTGCTCACCGTCCCATCTCCTTGTTTTTCAACACCTTCAGGTCTCACTGAATTGGGCTTTTTGTTCAGATTCTCGGGACGAAGACTCCAACTTTTTGGCAGATTGACATCCATCATGACCAGTTCACCAAGCGACCGAACGCCGGCGCCCACGGCTTCGTCACCCACCAGGGAGAAGACGGCGTCACCAAAGGCAACGAGCCCATCGCGGTCAAAAACTGCTTCGCCAATAGCGCAGAGCTCTCCCGCGGGCGAGGATTTAGAAGATGACATTGAGGTTGACGAAGGACTAAGTGTTGGTAGTCTCCGTGCCTGGGCTGAAATCAACGACACCCTTGCTAACACAAAGGCTAGGTCAGCGATGGAGCCTCGCTCATGGATGATCAAATGTGGGTTTGCTCATCGCCGTGTGCCCTCAGGCGCAATACTTACGGTCCGATGAAGATCATCCTATACGGCTTCCCTGGCCTCGAGCGCGGTCGATTATCCCATAGAGCATGGCCGTCGGTATCATGCGTTTCGAGCCGGAGGTAAGTATACCGTAGCTGATGTATCTCATGCTCACTAGCTAACCAACCTCAGCTTACTACGCTCCAAACGATGAAGTACTTGCTCAACTCATCCAGAGAATTATCCAACCTGCTGATCACGATATTGAAATAGAGCGAGATGGAGCGTCTTGACTTCCTGTCGACCTTGATCTTCAAAGTCATTGGCAAGTCATACTTGGCCCCGATTGAGCAGGATAAGACTCATCGGATCTTGGACATCGGAACTGGAACTGGCATTTGTACCTTGCTTCTCTGCATCCGTAACAGGCTCTGGTCGACTGACTTAAAACAGGGGCTATCGAAATGGGAGATTTATTCCCTAACGCAGAGGTGAGCATTCGTTGCCAGAAATGAGCTTTTGCTTTGTCTACATGTGCAGAACAAGAGCTAACTGAATGGCTCGATAGATTATCGGCAATGACTTGAGCGCAAACCAGCCGACTTGGTACGATACGATTGCAGCTTTCATGGTGTGCATTGTTTTCTGACAGGTGACAGGGTTCCGTCAAACGTCAAATTTGAGGTTGATGATGTCGAAAGTCCCTGGCTACATTCAACCAAATTTGACTACATCTTTTGCCGGTTAATGGCCGGTGCTATCGGAGACTGGCCTCGATTGGTCAAGAATATTTACGAGTGAGTCTGAAAACATGGTGCCGTGGAAAGCTCATTATTAAAAGCGGGTTCTAGTAATACTTCCCCCGGAGGCTGGGTCGAATTCCAAGATCTCGATCTCCTGTACCGCTCCGATGATGGCTCCATCACTGACGAACACGATTGTATGAAAATGAACAAGACATTTATCAGCACCTGCAAACAAATTGGCCGCGAGCCCTGCCCTGGTCCTCTTTTCAAGGACTGGGTCACAGAGGCCGGCTTTATCAACGTCTCTCATCAGCGGTACAAACTGCCTCTTGGGCCTTGGCCCAAGGATCCTCATTTGAAAGATGTCGGCCTTTGCAATCTTATCTGCGTGCTGGACGGCTTGGAAGCTTTCAATTTGAGACTGCTGACTGGAGTACTCGGGTGGACGAAGGAGGAGGTAATGGTGATGCTAGCAGCTTGTCGAAACGAGTTGAAGACGGGCGCCTTCCATGCTCGGATGGAATTGTGAGTCCCTTCCCTCATTCTCCTGACCTTTAAATTCTTCCCCATTCGGTCCTTAGCTAATCCAGTAAAAACACAGCCACGTTGTGTATGCTCAGAAACCACATGCAGAGACGGAAGCTTAGCTTAGGCGCAGTGCTTAGAGAACAAGTATGTTGCCGTAGTCGAGAAGGCTCCTATCCTGTATACAGATATCTATCCAAGTGATCTCTAGAAATTGAAACATGCTTATTCCCGTTCCGGAGGCTCGGGAGTTGTTGTCTCTTCACCTTCCGTTTGGGGGGGGTTTCGGCCCTCGATTTTCCATACCAAGCAACAGGGGGACGATAGAAGTGTTCTCTCAGCTGATTCGTGCATGAGGTGGCTCGCCTCTTTTCCATCGCAATACCCACATGAAGACCGGGGAGGCTGGAGTGGACACTTTTTATTGGACTCAAACCAACAGGCGTGGGATGCGACAGCCTGACAACCCCCCGCTACAAGATCGTTAGCAAGCTGCTGATTAGTCTTTGACCCCAGACGCATGCGAGTTTGCTACGTTGGTTCTGGGAAATGGAACGTTTGTATGCATTCCGCATGCACCAACACCGAGTTCACAAGCTGTAGGTGCCCGCATAAAGAGGAGCAGCCAACTGAGTACAAATTATTCTTCCTCTCTGTCAAGCGCATCCATTCCCACCACCCAGTCTCTCTCCGAACCCAATCCTTTCCACTCTCCATTCAATTCAAAGTGTAACCCTTCATCGAGATTTTGAGGGCAGCAGCCTTGAGTTCTCTCTAGACCGCTATTCGATATGGCAGGATCACCAAGCGAACAACCTGCGTCGGGTTCCCCTGTGCGCGCGAAGACTAGCTCTCCTGCCAGGTCCAAGACCGCTTCCCCAGTGAGGTCCAATGCTGCCTCTCCAACCGGACTTGGCTCGCCCCCAAGTGAACACCAGAATGAAACAGCTCAAATTGAGGTTGACGACGAGGGCGTTGTGTGTGATCCACAAATCAACTTGACTCCAACTTTGCTCTAATTGCATTATCAGGGATCTGACGCCGCATCAACCGTTGATGATCGGTGGTAAGTATCTGATGCTATGAGTACTCAAGTTGACGCTAAGTCGGCATGTAGGTCTTCATATACGGCGTCAATAACTTCAAGCGTGGTCGACTACCCTACAGAGCATGGTCGTCGCTACCATGCTTTCCGATCTGGATGTAAGTTCCGCTGCATGTTGTCTACAACACGCGGATGACTGACGAGACATAGCATACTGGGGTCCTAACGATGAGGTATGGCTACATCAAAATCTCAACCAACGAGAACTCCATCAGCTAATGCGTCTGACTTGAAGAGCGAGAGCGACCGCCTGGACTTTTTGCATATGATGATGGTAAAAGCCACCGGAGAGAAACTCTATTTAGCCCCGATTGAGGAAGAAAAAGTCCATCGAATTCTTGACATCGGCACCGGGACTGGAATTTGTAAGTTGCGGTGATGTCAGCAACCTCAACAAAGACTAATGAGATCCAGGGGCAATGCTCATGGGTGAGGAGTTTCCGAATGCAGAAGTAAGCATAGACAATCCTGATTTTGAATACGGCTTTGCCTTTTGGAAAGTGGCTAAGAATAACGCAACGCAATAGGTGGTGGGAAATGATCTGAGCGCTATTCAGCCAACTTGGTACATATCGCTCCATTCTGTCGATGCAATCCTGTACTAACTAGAGCTATCTAGGGTCTTGCCGAACGTCAAGTTTGAGATCGATGACGTTGAAAGTCCTTGGATCAACTCGAGAAAGTATGACTTCATATTTTGCAGAGATATGGCGGCGTCACTCGGAGACTGGCCGAAGCTTATGGAGAGGATACATGAGTAAGTATCCGAGACCTATAATTCTTCTTTCAATTTCTGTTTACTCACCTTGTCAACTCAGGAATTTAAACCCTGGCGGCTGGGTTGAATTCCAGGACTTCAACTTGCGTTACACGTCCGACGACGGGACTTACACCGAGCAGTACAAGACCCATAAGTGGTCCAACATATTCTTTGAAGCGTGCGAACGCATCAACCGCGAAGCCAACCCGGGACCTAAACTGGAGGGCTGGGTTCGAGAGACTGGCGATTACGTCAATGTTTTCCACCAGAAGTTCAAGATTCCTGTTGGGGACTGGCCGAAAGACCCCTACTATAAGGAATTGGGCCTGATCAACCTGATGCAGATCTTGGATGGACTGGAAGCGTTTACTTTGAGACTCTTTACCAGTGTATTAGGATGGACCAAAGAGGAGGTTTTGGTCCTTCTCGCAGAGGTCCGTCGCGAGCTGAAGTCTAGAAGTTTCCATGCCTATATGGAGTAGTGAGTCTGCCCGTTGCCTCCTTCTCTTTCAACTGACACTGGGATTTGCGACTAACAACACCGCCAATAGCTACGTTGTTTATGCGCAGAAGCCTGAAGTGGAGCAATGAGCAATAGCTGATACGTTCTTCCGAGGGGTGTTTCTCGATGGAATGTTCGACTTTGGGTTTACGGCTGACCTCGTTTGGACGATGGGATTATTTCGAATTTGTCAGGTAATCTGCACATGCCAATTGGCTCTTGACCTTGCTTCGCTCATAAAGGCATGGTCCAAGGCACCATCGGCTTGCCATGTGAAGTCGTCACCCCTGGTTTGACTGGCGATGCACTAGCGTTCTGCATGGCCCCGCTCCCGTCACCCGCCGGCCAGAACGGGCCGCTAGTCCTAACGGTCCGGCCCCGCCCGGTGTTGCTTCCGGAGCGGAGCTTCTGGTAGATCCTGGCAGTTCGTCCGAATCAACCAACCATTCAGACGGCCTGTGACGCAGCGACCCTGACTAGTGTGAATCCTTCTGGGTGTTTGCTGTTTGCCCACTTCTAAGCCTTCCTCTCCGGGCGCGAGGCATGTGATCTGGTTCATATATTCTTCTAGCGTGGGAACGTTGCCAGGTGAGATTCTGAGTGGCATTTTTCCTTGATCCGAAGGTCGAAGATGGCCCGATGTGATTTCATTGACGGACCTACTGAAGTGCGTGTGTCTGCTGGGCGAATGGTGCGATCACTATTAATAACTGAATGCATGCAGTTTCTGCACCATCTGTGTTTCGACCTGTTGCTATCTCTCCACGCCTAGCCTCAACGTCTTACCGTGATTCGCCTAGATGATAATATAGCCAGCTACTGAATCGCATCCATACTGCCGGCGGTCATACTGGTGACAGTTCTCTTCCTTGAATCAAGAGCCAAGAATGCTGAGTCAAAGCCGAAGCCACTCAAGCCGCGATCGCAGGTCGTCCTGGACAAATTGGTTGGCAGGAAGCGGCCGCCGCGTTTTGTGGACCGAAAAAAGTTGGTATACATCGACGCTGCGGTATCGGAATTCATGCGTTGACGATCAGTCTCTCCGGGGACTATCCCACCAAGAGCCGAAAGGGAGGATGAGGTCTATGGCAAGCGCATCGTTAGGGGGGCGACGCTGTTTGCGAGTTCTTGGGCCATTGGATGAGATAAAGAGGTTTTCGGGGAAGGTGACGGAGACTTGGGATCTTTGGCCCCTTGGAGATGGGTGGACTTGGACGGTAACTTGCGTGCTGACTTGCCCCTGCCAGTGTTCGGTCAAGGCATACAAAGCTGTTAGGGCAACTGAGTAGTCCTTGACAACACCTTTATGGTATTCGCGAGTTTGTTGTGGGCCTTTGATATAATACTTTTGGAGAAAGTTGACAACGTGGCTATGGACGTGACGGGCTTATTGATGGTCCCCTCCGATGTCAAGTTCGGCATTAAGCCTGGGGGACCGTGGGTGAAGGACGTAATCCGGAGAGAGGGAAACCGCCGAGACTGACCATTGTATGAGCGAGCCATGGGAATGGCAAAGCAAATATGACGGTCTGTATCGTTGTCTCTCAAGTCCCGCCACAGTCTTCTCCGCATGTGAGGTCAAGAGATCAACCAGGTTCGTCCTTTTGGAAAACCCGGGACACAAGCTTCCTACTTAGTAAAAATCTGGCACCGCGCGGCCCCGAGCTGGGCGGTTTTGCTCGGTATGATGTCCGTCAAGCAACGCCAAGCTCTTCCCTCAGACAGGAAGTGGCTCAAACAGCTAGTGAAACCAGTCAACGAACGAATCGAGTCTTTTGCTTCTGTTCGTACTCGTTGGCGCCTTGGTGAAGGCCTAGGTCTTTAGTGGATCATTGATGCTAGGTGCACGTAAGCCACAGTTTTCAGAGGAGGAGAACTATAATTTGGACAGTCGAAGAAGATAGCATGTGCAGAACTAGTTCAAGCCGCAAGCCTGGCAGAGCCCATGGTTAATTATTGTTTAGTAGACATTTGTAACTCCAAACGCAATGAGTTTGCTACTCTAAAGCCCAAATCTAGCTGCAGAAGCAACAATGCTGATACTCTCTGGCGTCAAAGTCATTGTTCTATGTGCTCCGTCCCACCGAGTTATTTCAAGTGAGGTTCCGGGGACACTTTTCGCGTGTTGCCGCCTTGATCTTCGCCGAGTCTGATCCCAAAACCTGCATTAACAATGAGATGACGGTCAACACATCACAAGGGGTGACCCAAACTCACGCCTATGAAATCCCAATTCGTGTATAACCATTCCCGTCTAACCGGAACCGCAAACGCAGCCCTTACGGAGCGCTGGGGCGATGTTGGGAAAGGGGAAGCACTGGCGGCCTTGGACATCGCAGTTCTCGCTCGCGACGCCGCAGGCGGTATCCGAACAAGGGCCGGTGTAAGGTGCTTGTGCGGTAGAAGCGGCTACGAGCGCGAAGATGGTCAAGAAGACGCCACGCATGTTTGCTGGTTTTGTTGGGTGGTGGGGGGGTTGGTCTGGCGTTTGGCAGTTGCAGGGAGAGTAGATGAGTTCGGGGGGTTTGAATCGGATGAAATCGAGGCTGAAAATCGTTGTGTGATGATGAGCTGGTGAGAAGATTGGACTGAGGCTGTGCGTTCGTTTGTCTCGATTATATACTTCATTCATCACTGGACATCAACGAGCCATTCGCCTACCCAGTCTCCTCTTCATATTCTATCCTCCACCCTTTTGTAATAGCCAGGAATATCATGTCTATTTTGGAGGTCTGCCAATTGAGACTCGGCCACGGACGTCTGGCGGTGCAACCAGTTGGTGGCCCCAAAACCTTGGCTGCACCTTGGCAGGTTTGGAGGATTATCGAATTCCAAGGGCGGTAGAGGATGACGGCGACAATTATAGTAGGCTAAGTCAGCAGGAGATGGGATATGCTATGAGCGTTAAAAGACCAAGGAAAAAACGCTTGTGGGTACTGTCTCGCGCTGGTCTTGGCGACAAACGTTTCAATTATTTCTTGTCCTTCTCTTGGCACATTGCTATGGTGCGGGATGCTGTCCGCGTCTCATGCTTGGCCTTTATTTAGAAGGACGAGGGCGCCCTCCCAAAAGAAGGTCGCCAATCCCCCACGACGGCTGAGGGTTTGACGCTGGTGAGTTGTTCACGTCGGCCCCCCACACGCTATTGGTTTGAATGGCTCAGCAATTCTTGGGAGTTGTCAAAATAGTACAAAGGGGGTTGTATCCTTGCTTGGTTGTCGTGTCAGTCGCTCCGTAGTTGTGTTTTTTTCTGTAAGATTGCATGGCGAGTCAGTGATCGCCCCGAGAGCCAATGCAACCAGAGGCTTATTTTGAAACTGTCCGACGGGATTGGAATGAAACGGGCCCAGTGTTGATGTCCTTGTGGGCGAATGAGCAGCTTCGTACCATTTATCTGTCGATTTCACCTCCACTTCATCTTGGTGTGTCATCTCCTACCCGACGTTTACATGTGCGATCTATGCAGCAGATGGTTGGGCTAAGCCATCTTCAACTACAAAGTTTTTAAGAGCCTGCTGCTTTTGCGGGTATTTTGGAGCAAACGAGGTAGGTTGACATCTACTTCCATCCAACAAGGTAAAAATTTTAACAAATATTGCCACTGTTGCCTTTACAGGTATCTGTTATCTACTATGTCTGGAAGAACGAATCCATTGGGGGTGGACAATCCTGTGGGGAGAATGGCCGGACCGGGCACGGAGCAAGAAGGTGGGTCTCGATACCGGAATTCACTTCCGACCGGCCGATTGGACCTCCGGGCCGGCTCTCATTCGTCCAATGTGGAATTTACTCCAGAAGCAATGTGGAATCTCCCAAACCACACGAGATGTCAACCATCGTGGAAAATGGGTATGCCTTGACATCTGCAAGGCCAAAAGCTAATGCGTGTCGCTCGATTTTGAACTTCAGTACCTAGTAAGTAGGCATGTGAATCGAGCTATTAACTGCCCTCACAATTCGCTTAGGATCACCTGATCGAATCTGCACGTGACGCCTGCACAGCCACCTATTGGATTGCTGTCATCTCATCTCTTTCGGAGGCCGTTTCGTCATAGCCGTTTACTTCTCTCATCCCAGCAACCCCTTCAGCTATAGACACTCTCTTTCAACTTCGGGAGACCCAATATCTATCCCCTTTGCAACCAAAAAAAAACAGCGCTCGCCTTGCGCATTTGCCATTGCCATCAGAACGTCTGCCTATTCCCAACAGCGCAATGGACCAATCTAGCCAAGTTGCCCCATCAGGGCGTGCAGATTCTCCTTCCACTTTGAGCGACGCCCAACAGCCGACCCCTTACCAGCCCATGGGTGAGCACTCTGTCCTCCCCATCTCATAGCCATCAACCCAGCCTCCCACTAATCCGATTTCACTGCGCAAAAGATCCTCAACGGGCGCAGCCCGAGACAGAACAGATGGGCCTTCGCGGTGGACAAGAAGGCAGCGGGCCGTGTCCAGGACGCTTTTGCTTTATTATTCCTTGCCCTATCCCGTGCAATTTCTGTATTATCCCTTGCCCTTGCTAAGGCGACGAATGAAGCAATTTTTGATCGTGGTTTGCTGATCTGAGGAGGTGGACCTTGGGCCCAGGGGGCACAGGCTGCTGGCGAGTTCTGTGTGGTACCGAAATGTCGAGCGATAGAGCCGGGAATTCAGCAAAACAGATGATGCTGACTTGCTCAGATTGTTGCTACGCCGCACAAGGGGCGACTTGTTGATAAAGGGACTTGTTAATAGTACACATTCTTCCAAAATTTGGTTGCTTCTTTTTGGTTCATGCGCCGCGTCTCAACTTTGTGCCATCGCGCTTTCGGCAATCTTTTTCCACCACCCGCGTTGTCAGCCTCTCGATAAGTTCCTCGTGCGCCAACGATCGATCGCTGCGTCCAATTGTCCACGGCTGCCGCAATGATTTTGACTTCACTGTTGGATTCGAGCAAGCCGTCCTGGCGATTGTTCCAGCAGCCGTTTTGATCTCATGTTCTTTGCCGCGACTCTTTCAATTGCTTCGCAAACAAAAGATTATTGACGAAATTGTTCTAGTATGCGTCAAAATTGTAAGTATCAACACTGCCGATGGCAACTCCAGGCCTAATCCCCTGATATTCAGCGCTTGTGGCCTACAGCGGCCTGCGACTTGGCCATCTAATTCTAACAAGTCGTGGCACATACTGGTCGTCCGATTTGGGTCTCGCATCCGATGCTATAAACTTTATTGCCTCCTTGACGATGATTCTTCTCTCATTCCTGGAGCATGCCCGCTCACCGCGGCCGTCGATGCTGCTTGGCATATATCACCTGATAACCGCTTTGTTCGACATTGTTCAGTCGAGGACACTATGGCTTTCAGCAGACTCTACGAATGACTTTCGCCAAGGCCGTCTATCGATCGCGAGTGTCGTTCTCAAAGTAGTCGTCCTCACACTCTAATCTCGAACGAAAAGGCGAGCATCGGACCCCTCAAAGCAGCAAAGTCCCGAGGCGACGAGCGGTATCATCAGTCTGTCAACTTACTTCTGGATCAATGACCTCTTTCTCAGGGGCTTCCGCAGGCTTCTCGTCCTCGACGACTTGTTCGCGCTCGATGAAGCAATGCCAGCCGACGTCTTGTACACCGAGTTTGGACCTCTTCTCGAGAAGAACAAAACGCAGGGTCACAAGCATGCTCTCTTCAGCGGCATGGCGCAGACGCTCGTAGGACCGTTCATCCTCCCCATCATTCCACGGCTTTGTCAGATGGGCTTCAAATTTTGCCAGCCTCTCATGATTGAGAGCTTATTGAACTATCTTCAGGAGCCCGTGGGCATTTCATCACCGAACAAGGGGTACGGTTTTATCGGCGCTGCCTTTCTTATCTACATCGGCATGGCCACGTCCAGTTCGATTTACTGGTACTTTCAAGAGCGCTTCGTTCACATGGCGAGAGGTATCTTGGCCTCGGTCGTCTACCGCAAGACAACCGTCATCAGCCTGACCGCCGCGGACGATTCCGCAGCATTGACGCTTATGAACGCCGACGTGGAGCGCGTCAAGAACGGATTCCAGCCACTCCACGAGTACTGGGCCAACACGATTGAAGTTGCGTTGGTATGTTGGTTGCTGCAACGCCAAATCGGCGCGGCCTTTGTTGCACCCGTCGTTGTTGTCATCGTGTGCACGGCGGCCTCCACAGTGACCGCCAAGTTCACAGGGAAGCGCCAGACATTGTGGATGGAATCTATTCAGCAGCGGGTCGGGGTCACTGCCAAAGCCATCTCAAGCATGAAGGCACTGAAGATCTCGGCCATGTCTGGGCCGATCGAGAACCTGATCCACACCCTGCGCCTCAAGGAACTCGGCGTAGGTGGGAAATGGCGCTTGATGCTCCTCGCCGCCGTAACGATCGCGTACACGCCGTCTCGGCTCGGCCCTGTCATGGCATTCGCCGTGACTTCTCAGACTCTCAACGTCACGCGTATCTTCACCTCCATGGCATATCTCATGCTCTTGGCCGGTCCGCTGGGAAGCTTGTTCCAGACCATTCCGCAACTGGTTTCGGCATTCGCCTGCTTGGGCCGTATCCAGGCATACCTAGATAAAGACAGTGTGTCGACTACCGCAAAACGCCCGAAGCTCCACGGTCGTCGAATCTAGAAAGTGACGAGAAGTCTGATGAATTGCATAATTCATCAATTGTAGTAAAGCAACCTTCGTTCGGGTGGGCCGAGGAGAAGTACCATTTGAACGAGGTCGATATACTCATCCCTGCCAACTCCCTCACCATCATCGTGGGGCCTGTAGCTTCAGGTAAGTCGACGTTGCTGAAAGGTCTTCTCGGTGAGATTCCATTTCACTCTGGCGAAGTGGTTTTTCAATGTCAACCATCGCAGGGTAGGCTACTGCGATCAGTCTCCATTCCTCTACAACAGCACGATCAAGGCCAACATCATTGGGCACTCTGGGCTAGATCCTGAACGCTATCGCCAAGTCATCGATGCTACGATGCTTTCTGCCGATTTTGCAACACTTCCCAAAGGCGATCGCACCAAAATCGGCAGCAACGGGCTGACCTTGAGTGGTGGGCAAAGACAGCGAGTCGCTCTCGCCCGCGCCCTGTACCTCGAGTGTGATTTACTCATCCTAGACGATATCCTGAGCGGCCTCGATGCGACCACCGAGGAGCATGTCTTCAGCCGGGTCTTTGGCAACGATGGCTTAATTCGCCAGAGGCACGTCACGGCTGTGTTGTGCACGCACTCTGTTCGACATGTACCATTAGCAGACCACATCATCGTACTCGGTGCCGACTGTACTGTGGTGGAACAGGGATCTTTTGCAGACTTGCAAACCAATGGCAAGTACGTCCAAAGCCTAAAGATCCAGGAGGCCGAGACCACCCCTCAAGGACAGAATGAGGCAACCGGCCATCCTGAAAAGGTTCCCTTGGCGCTTACAGTGACTGAAGTCTCCGATGTGGCAGAGGAACCAGACAAGGCACGTCAACCGGGCGATGTGGCAGTTTACAAACACTACTTTGGCAGCATGGCAAAATGGGTCATTGCAGTCTTTATCTTTTGGTGCTGCGCCTACGCCTTTTGCAAGAACTTCCCCACCGTCTGGCTTAAATTCTGGTCCGAGGACATCACCGCCGCGGACCCGAAGCGTTCCGGCGCGTTCTACATGGGCATATACGCTCTTCTCCAGATCATGTGCCTCGGCTCCCTGATGGCGGTCGTCTTTCTCAACACACAGACCATGATTTCGCAGTCCGGATCGAGTCTGCACCAGCAGGCTCTAAGGACACTTGTCGGCGCGCCTTTGAGGTTCTTTGCGACTACGGATACGGGGACGGTGACCAACCTGTTTGCCCAAGATCTCGCTCTGATCGACAGCGAGCTGCCGATGGCACTCATCAACTTCTCAGTCTTGCTTTTTGCTGCTGTGGGTATGGCCGTCGTGATTGCCGTTTCATCACCGTGGCTGGCAATCAGTTACCTGTTTCTCGTGGTGATCTTGTATTTTGTGCAGATGTTTCACCTTTGAACCTCGAGACAGTTGCGTGTCCTAGACCTAGAGGCGAAGAGTCCTCTCTAGTGACTTTGTCGAGATTTCCTCCCGCTCCGGGGCTGTAGGCTAACCGACTCCCTTTTCGGCTCCCACTTTATTGATACTCTCAAGGGTCTAGCGACGCTGAGAGCTCTGGGTTTCATCTCCGCGGATATCACAGTCAACAACGATCTCCTCGACACCAGCCAGAGGCCAGCGTACCAGCTTGCAATCATCCAGCGCTGGCTGCAGCTGGCACTCAAGTTACTGGTCGCTGCTCTGGCGACTATTGCAGTGACGCTAGCGACCCAACTACGAGCGAGCTCTGGATTTACCGGAGCATCCTTAGTCACTCTGATGTCTTTTGGTGATACCCTGACCACAATCGTTCAGTCTTACACGATGCTCGAAACGAGTATTGGAGCAGTGGCACGCCTGAAAACGTTTAGCGACACGGTTACACCGGAGACTGGCCCCGACGAGGATATCATTCCCAAGGCAAGCTGGCCTGAGAAAGGAGCGATTGAGATCAAAGCAGTCTCGGCGTCTTACGGAGTCTCCAAGGACCAATCGCACTCCGAGGACGGAGAGAAGCCGCACAGTGACCTGGCCATCCGAGATCTGCATCTCTCGATCAGTCCCGGCGAAAGGGTAGTTATATGCGGGCGAACGGGGAGCGGCAAGTCGTCGCTCATCCTCTTGTTGCTTCGCCTGATTGAGACACTACCCGGGAGTGCGGACGGGATCGTGGTAGATTCCGTGCCGCTCGACAAGGTCGACCGCGACACTCTGCGGCGCCGCATCATAGCCGTATCACAGGACGCCATCTTTCTCCCCGATGGCTCGATGGTGAGAGACAACCTCGACCCGTTTGGCGCAGCGACCGAGGCCGAGTGTCTCGAGGTCTTGGAGCAAGTCGGACTACTCGCGGGGATACAGGGACGAGGCGGCATCGGCGCCGAGCTTACCGCGGACTCTTTCAGCCAGGGGCAGAAGCAGCTGTTCTGCCTCGCCCGCGCAGCCTTGCGGAGGCGGGTCAAAAGTCGCGGTGGGACGGATGGGGGTATTCTCCTGCTCGATGAAGTTTCCTCGAGCGTCGATCGGGCTACGGACCTTGTCATGCACGATATCATTCGGTGCGAGTTCAAAGGATACACAATCATCATGGTGTCACATCGCCTGGACATGGTCTTGGACTGCGATACGGTCGTCGTCATGGATAAGGGCCGTGTAGTGGAAAAGGGTGCGCCGTGTGCGCTGAAAGATCGGGAAGGAGGCATGTTCAGGGAGCTGTGGAACAGTAGCAGAATGACGGAGGAGTCATGACTGCTCTTCGTCTGCGTGCTCAGCACAACCTAGAAGCGTTTGGGAACAACTAAGGGAGTTACGATTATGATCATGGACACCAAGGTAAGTGATACCGTGAGGTACCATATCGATGAGATGCCCATTGGCTTGGGTTCTAAAGAGACGCAGGTCAACCTGCGCAGTCAAGGGGTTTGAATGCGGGCAAGGAAGCATCGTTCTCGCAATTTTATGCCATACTCATGTCAACTCGCTGCTCAAGTTATAATTTATCGAAAGAGATAATGTCATCCTGACTTCTGTATATTCCCCAACGAACCGACTGATTATGGGCAAAGACCAGGGGTGACTAGAGGCAAATACGGCAATAAAAGAATTTACAAGTTTTCTGCCGTGATATTCAATGGCCCGGGACAATGTTCAACAGAGGACCCGATACGAATAGTCGGTCTCAGACTCAATCAACTCCCAGCCAACACATCGTTCAAGATAGACCTCAGAGGTTGGGACAACTCAAAGTTTTGGTTTCCCTCGACAACTTACAGACTTCCGCAGTAAAGATAGACGCGGAGCATGGAGCACTTTCCAAGGTAAACCTCAGGAGCTCTTGGCCTTTCATCTCCCGTTTCGAGGGATGTCAATTGGAGTTGACGACAACGAGGGTCCACGCATTTCCTGCCGCAGGTTCAGCAGCCCGATGCTGCCGCATGACAACAGGGTCGTTTCGAAATTTGCTAGTTTCTCAGGACACATCGTGTTGTGATCCGCCTTTCACATCAACGCTGCAACGGCGACTACCCCTTCTCCACCACTACTTCAATTTCCTCAATACATGTGTTCAATGCCTGACAGGACCTAGCCTCTTAATTCTTCCCTCGTCATTTCTTTCGCGCTGACAATCTCTACCGCACTGACGCCTGGATCCCTCTCTGACCGCTCCCTATAGCGGCTTTCCTATCTGCCTAACAGGCAAACGGGATAACCGTCTTCAGAACGTGGATAGCCCCAGGTGCACAGGGCGTGATGGGTCCTACTATTAGCATGTTCGTTATTGACCCCTCATTCATCCCATCCCCATGCGTAATCACAGCAGAGTAAAGACTACTCAGTGACTAGGGACAAGGATCTTGACCTAGGAAAGAGAGACTGACTATACAGCCTGGTATACGGACACTGGTCTCGAGTTCGACTTCAAAAGCCTTACGAATTCACTGAAGTTGACAAGCAAGATTTGATTCGTTTTAGAGACCAAGCAAGCTGCAAGCACAACAGGGCAAGGTCACAGTTTCCATGGGTCTGGTATACAACCTTGGTTGGCCTTTGACGGAGTTGCTCATTTCAGAGTCAGACATTCTTAACTGGTTCCGGACGTGCACACACACAGAGAGAGAAACACGAGGCATTAGATGAACCTTAATTTGCTGCGGACGGGACTTCCGTTATCATAGTTTAGCGCTTCCATGAGGGAATCCTACCTCAGCTACGGATACCTGCCCGTCACTTGCGCTCAGGCAATCAGCAACAATGCTTTAGCAGCAGACCAATCAAAATATGTCGAGCATCAGCTTGTCAGGTTCTGATAATGGCCCGAACAAAGCTAGAGGGAACAAAATAGTTCTGTGCGTCAATTCTTCCAAGATTTTGGTAGATGTTTGTCCTCGACCGTCGATATCAGTCTTGACAGATCCTTGCCATGTTCCGTCCGGGGGTTATCCTGACCAGCAAAGACCGCAACTAGCTGTCTTTAGCTTATTCGCGGCACAGACGTCATGTTTGCGAGGACCAAACATTACAGAACCGACAATCGCGGGATTTTCTGCTTGTCCTCCCGTCGTCAATTGTCAAGCATGTTGAGTCAGTGAAATAGGCTGAAAGGCCTGAAAGAGATGGAGTTGGGAGAAAAGGGGGGCCGGCGTGGGAACCATTGGGAAGACAACCATTGTTTGATCTCGATGTGTCCGTACCACGAAAGCGATCCCGTGTCAGCCTTCCTAGAGCGGAAGAAGAGCAACCTTCCGATACGTCAGATACGTCATTGGCGTTTCTTAGGATTTGCGCACCCTCGCCGGGGGTGCCAAGCCCAAATAAAGGAAAGAAGGAGATATTCACAATGGAAAAGGGGGCGAGGCTCTCACTCTAGACTTCCGGCCGGTGCGACCGGTGTCGGGTAAGATAGCGCGGGCCAGCCGGGCGTCATGCCGGTGGCAGGGTTCATTTTAGACGGCCAGAGAGGGTTTGGAGGGCGAGGTCAAATTGGGAATTTGGGACTGAGCGTCTCCGCGGGGAAGTTGCTAGCATGGAGCTGGCGCTTCCGTCTCACGCACACATTCCTTCCCTTCCCGCGCGGACGATCATGGGAATCCCCCTTGAACGTCGCGGAAGTTGGGAACGTTTGGGAACGCGGGCCCTGTCGCCCTTACCTCAGAGCCTGGGGGAAGTTGGTTGGGCAGCAGATCGACCCGGGCGGCGCAGTTTACGCGAAGGGGACGGGTTGTTGCACGGATCGACGGCGGCGGCAATACCATCTCGACATGGAACGGCCGGTGAACCTCCTCAACATTGCCGTCGTTGGCATCGTTGGCATCGGTGTCGGTTTGAGCCTTTGGGGGGATCTTTGGGGGGGTGTTATCCGTTCAGAACTTCAGGCTACTGTCGTCCCGTCGTCAGCAATCTCTCCTGTCTCTCAATTGCCATATTCGGGGCCCGGGGATACGGGCTGCACATTCAGATTATGGACGGATGAACCTCCGCCATGCCGGAAAGCGATAGATAGCAACTTCCAAACACATTTTCGGGCGGCATCAATGATCAGACCCCCCGGCCGGGATAAGGTGGTATTGGAGAAAAAGCAACAGCGAATGCGCCAGCTGTAAAGCGATTCGTTGTAAAGTTGGAATGTCACTAGGCGGTGAGCAACCCGTCACCGACTGCGCCGACGAGGGATGCCGGCAGGTTCGACGTCACATGTCGCACGCCCTGCATACGCCAGCTGTCCATTCGCTCGCCAGGCGTTTGCCAGCCCGCGGCACGCCTCTACCATGTGCGGATACAGGACCCGGAATTGGAACTGGTTCCCCGCACACCCCCGAGGTCAACGCCGCACGCCCTACCTTTACGCTTGGGCCTGAGGCAAGAGTGCATCACCAGGAATTGAGTAAGCGACCAATCAGCGACTGATGATAACAGCGCAAGCACGACAGCCAATGGGCGATGAGGACCCTGCATCGATTGATTAATGGCAGGGATGCCGAAGCATGGCATGCTGCAAGGATACTTGATTGGGGAAGGCGCGTCAGTGCTTTCCCTTGCAAAAAAAGTGGTCCGTTATCTCGATTCGCTCCTCCCCACATCCCATCTGGTGCCGCTCCCTTCCATTGTCTTGTAGGTACCTAGGAACCACAACCACCGGGCTCATTCAGCCTCCGTGCCTCCCAGCGAAACGGTTCTTCTTTTTGCGTGTCGTCTCTGTCTCTCTGGCCTGACGACCGCTCGCAGATTTGCATGGCCTTTCTCTCGCTCTGCCTCGTGCCTCCACGAAACAGTCCCCCGACAAACGGGCCTCACATTTCACATCTTGCGATTGCCGTCGTCTGCTTGGCTGCCCGCCCTCCTGGGCGCGAAGATCACTGCCGATGCGACCCCAATCCAAAACTCACCGACAATCCACAACGCCCATATCCGATCCGGTCCCGTCCCCTCGGATAGCCTCACCTGATTCTGTTATCGATGAAACCAACGATGCCCTGGTTTTTCAAAGGACCCTCGGGAGATAGCTGAGGCTCGTCTACTATGTAACGACGACATGTCTCATTTGAACCTCAATCCGGGGAACACCACGTCGCTCACACGTGAGCCATTTACATGTAGGGATCATCTCTGAAGCGGCGAAACGGCTGCCCTGGGATCCTGGACTTCCTTCTCCCGGCCACCGACCGTGCCATTGGGCAAAGGGGGACGGACAGCCACCGGGCAGCACCGAGCCTCATGGAGAATTCCTTTTTTTTTTTTTTTTTTTTTTTTTTTTTTTTTTTTTTTTATTTTTCTTTTTTTTTTTTTTTTTCTCTATCCCAACTTTCCATCCCTTTCTCTCGTTTTTCATTTGTTGTACCCACCCCTGCACGAAAAAACCTTATCTATTGTTTTTTTTTTTTTTTTTTTTTTTTTTTTTTTTTCCATTCTTGGACGTATCCTGTTTGATGTATCTGTGCCTACCCCAACATTCCAAGCCTATCGCTCGCTTTGCAGTTGGAGTATCCACCACTGCATGCAAAAAACCTATCGAATCTTGCTGTTGCCAGCCGCGAACAGCACAGAGTTGGCAGTGGACCGATTCAGTCACCCTATCATCTTACAGGGATAAACAGGAACCCAGCAACTGAAATGTCGGTGTCTCTCTCTTCTGCCGTTGGGCGGCGTTGTTGTCGTCGTCGTCGCCCTCGCCCTCGCCCTCGTGGCGCCACGGAAACAAGTGGCGCAGGTTTGACAGAGAGCACATTCTGGTCCTTGTCGCTCGTTTCTCACATCCTCCACTCCGTCAGCAATGCTACCGCGGCCTCGTCTCGGGGCGTTTCGCCTCCCCGTCAAAGGCCCCGTCGGTTTTTCGGTGCCGGCATTGAGCCTCGGCCGGATGTTGCTGTCAGAAGAGGAAGACACCCGAAGCCAACAGCCAGAAAACCGCCGAGGTGCAGTGAAAGGACGGGAGAGGTGGTGGGGTCGGCCAGATTCCGGGGACTTTACACATCTCCTACGTCCTAGCGCTCGGCGACAGCGAACGAACGGACTGGCGTCGCGAGGCTGTGGCAAAGAGAAGGGGAAGAGGGGTGGGCAGCGGGAGCTGGAGCTTGCAGCTGCACTGGCTTCCCCCATCGTCAATGCTGCGCAGCAGTTTTGCCTGCTGCTCCATTAGACCATTGGGCCCCAACCTGGGATCCCCGCCACAGAACACCGCAGCCCTATCCACAGCTCGGGCGAGGCGGCAGAGCGTTCAGCCTGTTGTCTTGAGGGCAACGTCTCTCAGTACCACAGAAATCCGCCCACAAGCGTTGAAGCGCCGTCTCGGGCGGGCCCTCGAGCAACCTATTTGCAAATGCCAAGCCAAAGTGGTCCCGTAATAACGGCCATCGTCTCCAGGCTTCTGGATATGTTTTGGAGCAGAGCATCGTGGGCGTGGGAGTGGGAAAGCTCCACATGGATAGTTCTCTTGCTGAAGCTTCTGGATCCTCTCCCTGCACGATGTTCTCAATCCGTCCCAGTTACCCATCTGGCCACTGCATCAAAGAAAGCTTCGCGTCGCGTTGCTGTGCTGTGCTTTGCTTTGGATACACTGCACGGATGCGGATGCAGACACAGGGCCCATTGACCCCTCAATCTCCATCAAAGGGTGCCATGTCGCTGCTGAAGCTCCGGGGCTTCTTCGCAGACACGAGGCGCGGTGGGGTTGTCGACGTCGGCCTCTGTCGATTTCTTTCACTTGTCAAGTTTTCGAAGCAGATCCTTCATTTGTGGCTGGATTGGCCTTTGCTCTTCCAGGAATTGATGGACATTGGCCGAAATCACAGAGAATCGGAAGTTGCGCTGCCTGCGTCATATTCAGTGATTAAAATGACTCGGATTCGGAGACAGCACCCGAGTTCCAGAGTACATCTCGGAGTCTTTGCGAAGGTTGGAGTGAATTCATGCCACGAAACAACGGGGGACCAATGAGCCAAACTCCCGTCCCTCTCTCACTCGGCCGACACGCCAGATCAGCCTGTTGGGCCATTGGAAATCCGAACCATAATAGCGACCCTGACGTATTGGGTTGGAGATTGATTGCTTTGTGGCCCCGAAGCAGCAGCGTCAACGGCAAAGCCTGTCAAGATCAGCAACGCTGAGCAGAGGCTAGAGCATGATATTCCAGCGTTCGTCATCAAGATGCAGCCGCTTGCGACTTGCGACTTGTGGGCAAATTTGGCATGTCAGTCAACGGCCTCTCGTCACATTGCAAGCGTTGGACGGCGGTCGGCGGCCACAAAGCTGACGGGTTGCAGCGACACCGCAAACGCGACTGTCAGACTCTGCCATGTGTTTAATCGCTTCCGCAAATAGCACGTCGACGTTGCGTTGTGCCACACACCCCGCAGCAACCTTGCTTACTGTGGTTGCTGCAGCTCCAAGACAGACAGACAGATAGACGACACGTCGTCTTCAGCCCGGCAAAGAGGATGGGGCATCAATCAACGCGGAGGCCGCAGCACGGTGATTATACAATTGGTGTTGAAGGCTGGATCATAGCCACTTAACCACAAGCTATAATCCATTGTTTGAATGACGGACACTGTCAACCGTGCCAACCAGGCGAACAACAAGCAACAAGCCTTGACTGGGGAGGCTGGAGATCGGAGTAGGGAGCGAGTCACGGCGATTGGAAATGAACAGCGCTCGTCTGGCTCTGTCGACCAGTGCCAGTGGAGGATGAATCCCCACAATGTGGGGAGGGAGAGACAGAGAGATCCCGGCCAGATGGCCGAATGCAGCAATTGAGCAGATGGGCGGTGGGTTTTGGCGCCTTTTTCTTCCGTTCAGAGTTTCCCCGTAACGGCCGCCCTCCACGTCTGGCCAGGCGGTGCGCTTCGCAGTGGTCTGGCAGCTCTTGCATCTTTGGTCCAGGCCAGGTTCACACGACTCGCCTGCTGATTTAATGTTTGGCTGAAGCAGCAGGGGAGCGTTTGTGTCCCGCATCAGGTTCGAGGTTGAGAGTACGTAGTAGTCGAAATGCAACTTGCTTTGATGTGCTTGGGTCTGGCTTCTGGGTCACGACCGACTAACATGCAGCAAATCTGACCTGTCTGTCATCACCAAGAGGGGCACTCAGACCAGGCGTTCCGACGTCGCATAGGACGATTGAGTCCCGCCTATCGCGGTGCACACGCATAAGGTGTCCTGCATATGGACTTGCGGACGGATGGATGGATGCGTGCACGTATCCACGCATCCACGCATCGGGAGGGGAGGGGAGGAACGGCGGATCGCCACCAAAGAGGGATTCCTGTCGAGAACAGCATCACCGGATCAAAACATGTTCAACAGCACAACCAGCATCAACCTACTCATCACAGCAACGCTATAAGATACCAGCAAATTGTTAAATGACCGCAGCCGCAAGACATCTCCGGACAATCCTACGGTTACACTCGAGAACAGAATTGGCAAGTCAGCATTTTGCGTACGTACAAGCAATCATAAGTTCGAGAGTTCCATGTCCCTGTGAATTCTCGGTTCATTTCCCCCTGCTTCATACTGGGCGAGCCGCACCATCCATGGAAGAAGTGGAGGATGGATCCGTGAATCCCGATATGCGTTGATGAGCCGGCCTGGTCGATGAGAGTGTAGAAGCGATACGAGCGGCAGCCGGCCGAAAAGAAAAAAAAATCACACACGCACACAGCCAGAGTCTAGATCGGTCTCTGTCCGACGGCCCCTGGACAGTGTATTCCGGGCCACCGTCCATGGCGGTGACGACGCAGCAACCGCAGCGTGGAAGAGGAGCCGCATCGTAAAGCGGCAATAAACATGAATCTTCTTGGACCAAGCCAAAGGCGGCTATTACGTTGGGGAAATTTAACTTGCCCCCTCCGTATAGCCGTCGTCACCTATGCTCTAGCTGTCGGCACTTACAAGCAGACGACAGAACCGGCCATCGTCCAGAGAGAGCCAAGGCGATATTGCGGTCTTTCTCCGGAGTGTCAAAAATGGCTGGAGACTGGAGCAGTTTGTAGTTCGTACCAGACAGGCAATAAAAGTGACGAGGCGGGAGCGCGACGTGAAGTGGGTTTTCGGAGGGCCATCTTGTCTCAAAGGTTTACCCCGACAGCTTCCTCGCCCGCCGCTAATTTACGGGCTACAGGCGCTACAGAGGTATTATTGCTTTTTTTCCCCCTTCCTGTTCACTTGCTTCTTTTTTTTTCTTTTTCTTTGGCTCTTTGCCTCGTTGACGTCGTCAAGACCCAGGGGGCCGGGTACGTATCCAGTCACTTACCTAGGAACCTGGGGCAGTCAAAGCTCGTGACCTCAAATGACACGAGCTTGTCCGTCTAGAAGCTCTGCAAAAGAGCCATGAGTTCCTATGCACTAAACCTTAGAGGAAGGTACGGAGGCCGTTTGTAAGGCTAGGTTCGCTATCCCGGGCGCGATAGCGGCGGCTTGACTGCGGCAAGAAGAAGGAGAATGAGTTGAATATACGGGAGCAGCCCCGTATGTCAAGGAAGTTCCCAGTGATCTTCATCCAACGACGTGGGCTAGCGGCGTGGGCCAGCCCATTGCCTTACGTACAGAAAAGCTGCTTCATTTCAGGGTTCTTTTTCTTCTCGAAGCCCGTAAGCAGCGTCGGACCTTGCTTCTCGACTGGGTATGGGTTGACGGTCACGGACAAGACGAGACGAGGGAACAATGGGCAGGCAGCGCACGGAAGCTGAGCGAGCAGAGACAATGCCGGGGCTCGTGCTGGACAGGGGAAGAAAGAAGACGCTGACGAGGAGGAGACTGGAGGAGGCTAGGGGAGGAAAGGAGAGGAAGCCGCGGGAGGCTTGGACGGTGCTTTCGGAGGATGGTTTGAGCCACTGTGGAAACACGTTCTTCCTCGACCAGAGGCACGGGAGGCTATCCATTCTGCGGTGGCAGTTGGGACGAGACAAGGACTTACCTAGTGGCCCGGGGTATCGTCCTGAAGTAGACAAGGGTTCGGACCTCTCTTCAGCCAACCACGAGCCGGATAGAAGGCCGCTGCCCACCTGGCGACAGGACCAGGACGGTGGCTAAGCCGCTTCCAGGCTAGAAGGCGCTTGGCCTACTCTGGCTCTGGGCTCTTTTGGCTATGGCTCTGGCTCTCTCTGGCGGTCTTTCTTGGGAAGGCTTCTGGGGGAGGTGGAACCACGGCGCGGAATTGGAAGGGGGGAGAGGGGGAAGAGGACGGGGATTCCTTGCAGTGCGAAAGGGCGGTCGCCGCCGTCGCCGCCGCGATGATCGTGGCCGCCGCCTTTGCGCCTCACGTTTCCGCGGTCCCAGGATCCCGTACCGCGCTCCCTCGACTGACTTCCGAGCGGGTGGCCAGAGATGGTCGTACCTCTTCGTACTTGATTTCGCCACGAGGACGGCAGTGACCTTTGTAGATTTATGGTAAATTGGGTGGTCACAATGCTGTTGGCTTGAGACCTGCAAGTGTTGGAGTTGAGAAAAACTTCAAAGTCAGCAACGGTGGTGTAAGTTGCAGCGAAACGAGAGAAACGGCGAGGCAAAGCGTTGTGGGCAGCAAAGAAAGCAAAAGTGACGATGGAGGGGGGGATGCTGCATGAGGTGAGCAAAAGGAAGGGAAGCCATGCCGAGAGAGCAGAAGAGGGTGTATCCTGTATACGTCCTCCAACTCTCACACCCACAGCGCATTGGTGCAGAGTTGTATCCGTACGGATAGAGGCGAGAGAGACGACGAGAATGACAGAGAAAGAGAGGAAGGGAAAGACTGTGTGTGACAGCGAGAAATTGGAGGGGGCGTGGGCTGCTCTGTCACTCTCTCATCTCTGTCCCATCTCTTCCTGACTTGCTAGGCGGCCGGCAACCATGTCCGCCAATTGCCGCAAGAATAAATCTAATAGCGAACCCGCTCCCGCATATCCTGCCCCCCCTTCCCGCCCACCGCCCACACAGCATACAGCACACAGCACACCCCTTCCTTCCATCTGACTGAATCGCCCTCAAGGCTGCTGGTCCTCTTGTCCACGCCCCCCCTTCTTCCCATTCCGCACCCCCGAGTCTCGTCCCATCCATTTAGACCCCAAGCAACCCGCCCAAACTACTTCACCAATCCGCTCCCCTCCATTGCACGCACGCATCTTTATCTTGCTGCGAATGCCTCCCCTTCACCACGCCTGATCAGGTCATCTTCACCTCACTTACACCTCACATTCACAAGCCAAAAAAAAAACGGCTTCGTTTGGTGGCATAGCGCATCGTTATCTCTACACCGTCAACCAACGCGAACACACCAACATACCCATACCTCTACGACCCTCTTAGACACGCTACGAACCACGACTAATACCAAGCGGAATACGAAGCATCCTCACATAAACGCGACACCGCAGCCACGTTTCGTTCTCCTCTTTTAATACCAACCACCCCATCGCAACAAATATTTGTTGCTCCTACATCTTTTCTTACGAAGAAACCAACTACACGCGCCCTCAAATCCCATTAATCGAGCGCCATCAACACCTGGGACGCGCCCCATCTATCACCGCCAAGCTTCACTTACATACCAACGATACCTACAAAGCATTTTCACCTCGGCTTCGACACAATGGCAACAGACCTCATAATGCCTACCCTCCCTGAGCAGCGCCTCCCCTTCTACCCTCAGGATCGCCCTCACTTCACCCACACGCGATCTCAGTCCTTCCAAACCGTGCCGCAACCCCGACCCTTTCGCAACCGCACATCGCCCCTAAGCACTCCTCACGAGGGCTCTCCCACCTCGCCAAAGTCGTGCCTCACCGAGTCGGTGCGCCCCGTCTACGTGCCCGCCGTCCTCCGCCCGAACCAGCACCACTCCAAGAAGCCGCGAGCACCCAAGGTCGAGGACCTCGACGGCGAGGATCTGCTCTGCTTGCGCCGCACCAACAGCAGCTTCATCAGTCTCCCCGGCTTCAGCGTTCTTGGCGCCAAGCTGTCGCGCCGCTCCACCGGCGACAGCGGCAAGGTAATTGACCTTGAGTTGGACCCTGAGCTCTTCCCCGACGTCGCCGGCGAGCCCACCCGCAAGCACTGGAAGGTATGTCTGCTGTTGCGACGTTCTCGTCTACATGTTATGCAATCGCGTACTGACAAAAAATCTCAACAGCCCGATTCCGAATCCATAATGTGCGACGACCCGACTTGCAAGCGCAAATTCAACGCCTTGAACCGCCGACATCACTGCCGCCGTTGTGGCAACATTTTCTGCGGCACCCATTCTGGCGAAGTCATCCCTCTGGACGAGGACTGCAACTACAACCCCCGGGGGGCCCTCGCTCGCGCCTGCTTCCACTGCTTCACCGAATTTAAGGTATGGAAGAGCCGTAACGGCAGCCGCAGCGGCAGCGACCAGAGCTCCGACTCGTCGGGTACCCCATCGAGTCCCATTGTCGCGAGCCCCATCGCCCCGACCATGCCGGGCATGCTCCCGCCCACCAAGGGCCCCGAGGTTGCGGCCAGCGTTCCTCGCGACTGGAACTGGAGCACATTTTAGGTGTAGGCCCAGATGGGGCGGGCTGCGGAAGCAGTCGTAGACAACGAAGAAAATACCAGGGCATATCGCCCACCGGATCACGACTCACGGCCTTAATGAAGATCGAACAATAATAGAATCATAGACATACTCACACGGCGGCGATTCTCACCAACCACCCCGACGATAACAGTCATGGAAAAACACAACATACACAACACACAAAGAACCCCTTCGACACACATCAATACCCATTAATGGACTGCAACACGCATCATCCATTATCACTACCATCCGCAATAGAACGCCTCATCGGTTTGGAGTCAAGCCGAATTTGGCTTGGGCTCTGTTTGCATTTACAGCGTGGCGTTGGACGGATACTCAAAGATACGGGTTTGGCTCTGCCAAATTCCCCCACATCTCTCGCATGTGGGAAAGGGTTGTTTTACGGAAAGATACACCTGGCTCTAATTTTGTTTTACACTCCAAATTGTATGGAGTTTAGTGGCTTACCCTCTGGAGGATTATACCCTGATGTGACGGACACCTGCTTCGCCCCCTATTCGGATCCCATCCGGGGTAGATCTGTCTACATCTGAGATGGGGAAGAGACGAGGGCGGAGCAAGTCGGCCGAACGCCTTCATGGATCGGCGTTGCGTGTATTTAAAGTTGCTGTCGCCTTATTGGTTGACAGATTGGAGGCCGAGGAGGAGAGGGATGCACGAGAGGCAAGAGGGAACAACCCGGACGGGCGCGCAGCCAACCTTGTTTGCGCCAGCGGCCGACTCCAGCCGCTCTGCTTTCCCACCCTTTCGAGGTCAATCACAAGAGAATACAAACAATTGCAACAAACTCCCCAAGACGGGCAAACCCTGGCATATTGGTGACTCTTGATGTGAGTGGCGACGTATGATACATGTCCGAGGGGCGTAAAAGTTGCCCAGACGGCTTACCGGCTAGTTCCCGCGAGTTTACGGTGTCGACTGGGGAGGCATCCGCCGCCAACAATCTTGCTTAACAATGCCATGGATGAGTGAGCCACCGCCGGATGACACGGACGTGGTTCCGTCCTACTGCCTTGTTTTGGTCCGATTCGGCATGCTACCTGTCCCGTGTGTAAGTGAACCATGTCTGGGCACTCTTCGACATTTTTTTATTTTATTTTCTAGGCCGGAGTGATGGAAGCATCAGCAGGGCACTCGAGTCTGGGCTTACTATTTCTCTTGTGCAGGGCCCACGAGGTCAAGAATCGGGTGTTTGTCGTCGTCAGTGACAGTGGTCTTTTGAGAATGCCTAGGCTGGATGAATATTCAGTAGGCTTTATGACGGTCTTGTGAGTCTGAGTAACCTCTGTTGTCCGAGAAGTTCTTGAGAAGAAGTCAAGTTGAAGCGCCGTTCATCACCGCCTTTGCGCATGTGCTTGCAAATCACAATTTGTCACTCTACGCCGTCTGAAAAAGTTCATGGCCTACACTTCTCGCGTAACCCCCGACTCTTCACCGGACGGACGGTCATGATGTCTTCTTTTTGTTTACCTCCTTTGCTACTTGAATTCCATGCTTGGCTCGTGGCCAAATGGTCAGCCGTCGAGGATGGAGCTGTGTGGAGGAGGCAAGGTCAGCACAGGTCGTGTGTGGCGGTGTAATTACCTTGAGGCAGGTGCAATGGTGGTGGTCATCATTCTTATGCCGAGGCTAGCCTAGCGTCGACGTCGACGACGACGACGACGATACGCGCGCTTCTTCCTCCTCTTCTTCCTTTCCTCCCTCTATTTTTTGTTGTCTCCTCTGCCCCATTTGACTTGTCACATTTCACAACCGTTTCTCATCTTCTTTTTAATTCATCCCCGCCCCGGGCGTATATCTGACGTACATCTCTTCCGCCCACCCCTCCCGGGACTTGAATCCGGCCCAAAGAGCCTCACGAGTAGGTGAGCAAGGCGAGGTAGGACGTGGAAGGCGTGGATGAAAGCTGGGCTCCTGAGGCGGAGGATGGTGAGCAAGAGGAAGGAGGAGGATGTGAAGGCACGGCATAGCCTCCGCGCCTGGTGCGGTCCGATTTAGCTCGAGGAGCTTAGGAACTAGCTAGGCTTCCTCCACATGTAGAGGGGGGGCGCGCGTATGTGTGTCCATGCATGTGTGATATGTACTTGTATGATTCATCGCCGTAAGCCTCATCATGATTCGTCTACCCGCCTCTCTCACAGCATGTTGTACATAGTCGAGCCAGGCAAGGTCGTGTGCTCAGCTCATCGAACCAAGTCGGGTCCGTGAGTATGACTCTGCGAGAGCGTTGCCTGGCTTGCGGCGGCCAATAAGAATCGAGTAGATATTTCTGTAGCTAATGGGCACCTTGGTAGCCCCTCGTGCCATTTGCTTACTTTTCCTTCCTTCCGGTTTGGAGCCCAAGCTGGGTCCTCGTTATGGCAAGACGAAAGCAACGAAGGACGTGCAAGGTGTGGTAGCAATGCAAACTTGAGATGGCATGTTTCTGTATTGAAAGAAAGAGGTGAGTCAAGAAATGTCAAGTTGTAGAGTCAGAATGATCTGGGAAGTAGCTGTTCGATGCTGATACAACGCATGGGAAACACATAGGTAGGTTAGGTAAGGTACGCAAAGTTGGATGAACGCGGACATATCGACGACGACGATCAGCAAGGCTAACGAAACCCCACCCCCGCGAATCCACAATCCCGTATTACCTTAGTACCCAAGGTCGACTCATTTCTTCCTTTCTTTCCCCCCTCCCTCATGTAAGGTAGCGTTATGGAAACCGGTCGCGTCAGGTCCAGCGAGTTCACCCCCCCTCCCGGCTGCCCGGAACAGGCTGCTGAAACTATGGACGAGGAAGATGCGAAATTCCTCCGTGGAGGTCACAGTGGTAATGCCTGCACATGTGGTCGAGTTGGACAATGTTCTACTGTCCAGTACTACTCACTGCGCATAGTTACCGCCACGCTTGAGAGATTCAAGGTCCTCGTCGCCCGCTTGGCCACCCGATCGGGCTCACTTCAGGCTGTCGGAAAAGACCGTTGAACTCGCGCGTCATTATCAAACTGTGTGGCCATGTTCAAAGTACTACGTACTGGGCGTTACCTCCTGCTGTAAGCGACGTAGTGCGTGTGTTGCACAGGCGGGGTTGTTCACAACGAGACTCCACAGATTCTTCAACGCCGTTGTCTCCATAGCTCCTCATCCATTCCGCGCCTATTCCATTCGTGATATTCCCATCCCAAGCGGCCTTATGCGCGAATAGGACGAGATGTTCCCAAAATGACTCTCGTGGGCAGGTATCGGACACATCCCGCCGCCTTGAAAGAGGAGATATTTGAATATCTGCGCCTCATCCTTGCAAAGGGGAAAGGAGAAACCCTCAGGGTGGATGAGCACCCAAAGGCCCCAGTTGGCAACTTTGATGTACCACGTACACACCCATTGGTGCTTGCAGTCATTGAGTTGGGAAATACATCCCTTCTTCCCTACCACATCATATCACCCGACTGTGCGGACGACGCGTCCATCGTGTCGGGGACTTTTCTTTTTCTAGATTTCGTGCTACGGTTCGACGTGACTCAACGGCGTACTACCAAGTTGGCTCACGGTAGAGGCAGACTAGAATCCAAGGCGTGAAAAACCCGAAGCCCTCTGTGATTAACTCCCCATCGCAACTCGGAGGCGTGACACGCCCGCCATTCGTAAGCAATGCCCTGTCGTATTCGTAGCGGAGACCCGTTCCCGCCTTCATCGACTATTTACACCCCCTCGTCTAGAATAATGGTTTTTATCCCCATTGGCCATTGGGCATAAGGAAAAAAGCGTTTGCGGCTCCGCCACTTTGCCGCGGTCATCAGGGTCGGGTAGGACTCTGTGATGTTGGCGCCTCGCAAGGTTGGACGAGCGGTAGACCTGGTCGCGTGACGCGGCGTGTAGTGAAATCGAAATATTGAGTCAGTACTCATCAAGCGAGTCGCCACTCTTTCCCCAGAAAGCGAGACAGTTCAAAGATGGACAAAGGTGGGTTATGTGGTAAAGGAAGGAGGAGGCTGAAGACAGCATACGTACTAGGTAGGTACACACACCCCCTCCAACCGCATCGGAGTACGCTCCGGCGTTAGCCCCACCCGCATCCGGAAGATTGACGTGGAAATTGCGGAGAAGATGGTCCAGCGGATCGGTCCCGAGAGCTCGGGCTTGTACCCCACATTTCACCGCCGCCCGCGTCCCGCTTCCGGCGGACATTGCTTGGCTCTGCTTTTACGAATGCACACCCCCAGATGTGAATCAGTTAGTGGAAAGCCATGCCACTCTGGACGTCATGATTGTACACGTCCTGATAGCATACGGATTGAGAATTTGACGAGACACCCCGCGGGACTGAGATCATATGGCACCAAATTGTAACAAGTAAACCGCATATTGATAATGACTATACATGCTTGTACCGGATGGATGACACCCGGCTCGCCCTCTTTACCCTACGCGCGAAATGCAAGACACTAGACGGTCACGACTAGATAGCGAGCGCTCCGGGTGATGCAAATGCTTACCCCAATCATGTTTTCCCAGCTCAAGAACGCCGTTGAATCAAACCCCATGCCGCCTCCGCGAGAACATCTTCCAGGCATTCTCTTCCAGCCGTGTTTCCCATGTGCCCTTTTCCCATTACGTCCTACGCTCTAAAAACCGGCTCGTGCGTCCCAGCTCTCCCTAGTGCTTGGCCTTGCCGTTGCTGGCGCGCTTAGAGCTGCCCTCGACATTGTACGAGGCAGAACCGTTGTAAATCTCGCGGTTGACCTCGCGAGCCGCGTCCCAACCAGCCTTCTCCGCCAGGGTGACGTTGTCCTCACGGCGGGCCTTGCCCTTGCCCTTGGGCGCGGCGGTACTACGGCGGATGTAGCTGCGGATGAAGAACATGACAAACAGGTAGGTGAGCGGCGCCAAGTACAGGACGTTGAGCCAGATGGCAAATGTCTCGCCGCTGGTGGTGACGCAGGGCTGGGTGACGAAGATGGTTTCGGCAA